CTCAGTGTCAACAGTGGCAAAGACCAAGTCGTCTACGTAAACAAGAACGTAGAACGGCGGCAGAGTGGTGTCGGTGCGTAGAAACAGCGACGGGTCAGCAGTAGAAGGAGCAAACCCAAGAGCAGCAATAGTAGTCCTCAGTGTGTCGTGCCACTCACGGGGTGCCTGGCGGAGACCGTAGACTGGCCGCCGGAGGCTCCACTGGGTACCAGGAGGGAACGACCCAGTGAAGCCAGGTGGGCGGCGCAGCCAGATCTCCTCGTGCAGGCTGCCCTGTAAGAACGCAGTGCTGAAGTCAAGAGAGTGGAGCTCGTAGTCACGCTGAGCAGCGACGTGCAGCAGAACCCGAAGAGTGGTCATCTTCGGGGTCGGGGAGAAGGTCTGGAAGAAGTCAACTCCCTCTCGCTGACTGAAGCCTCGTGCAACGTAACGCGCCTTGAAGACAGGCGGAGAACCCGGCGGCCGCTTCACCCTGAAAATCCACATGCCACTGACGATGTTCGCCCCAGGTGGGGGAACCTCGTCGACGTAGGTGCCTGTGGACTTCCAGGAAGCCATCTCTGCGTCCATGGCTGTCTGCCACTGAGAGGAGTAGGGACCCTCCATCGCCTCTGCGTAGGAGCGTGGGGTCGGGATGTCTGGTGCATCCGGGTCTCCCTCAGGGGCAACTAGCATGGACACGAGATGAGGCAAAGCAGCGGCAAAGCACTCAAACTCCTCCTGTCTGTCCTCAAGGACGTCCGTGCCAAGAGCACACTCACCCCCGACAGACGGAGGACAGACAGACTGAGACTCAGACTCAGCAACAAGGCTAGCGGCGTAGTCTAGACGACAGGCAGCAGCAAAGTCAACAAGCTCAGCGACTAGAGCAGACGCAGCAGAGGACTCAAAGGAAGGGTCAGTGACAGCAGTGGCAAGGAGACGCGTGACAGTAGGACTGGCAGCACGAAGAGAGTCAGACTCCGGGTCAGCAAGAGCAGGAAGAGAGGACGCTGGTGGAGACGGCAGTGGGACACGCTGTGGAGCAGTAGAGGGACGCAGAGTCATATAGTGAGTGCCAAGGACAGGAGGAGGACGCTGACGTGGAACACGACGACCAGCGCGGACAGCGCGGACAGGCGACTCTGGACGCGACTCAGACGACTCTGGACGAGTCTCAGGCGACGGAGGACGAGACTCAGGCTCACGACGCTCCGTAAGACCTCCCGTCGGCGCAGTGTAGGGAGAAGGACCAGGAAGTGGAGAGACTGGCTGTAACTGTGACTGCGACTGGACAAGCGGTGGACTCAGTAGGGGAGGAGTAGGACCAGGAGAGGGCGGAAGGCCAAGAACCTGCTGAAGGAGCGGAACGTAGTACGGCCGTGGCCGCTCAGCACCTCCAGCTCCAACCCCCTCAGCAGGGCCAGTCCCAGCAGCTCCAGCAGCACCGCCAGCAGCAGCAGGGTCCCAAGCAGCTCCAGTACCAGCAGCACCTCCAGCAGTGCCAGCAGCACCACCAGCAGCAGCAGCACCTCCAGCAGCTCCACCAGCACCAGTACCAGCAGCACCTCCAGCAGCGCCAGCAGCACCGCCAGCAGCAGCAGTACCACCAGCAGCTCCAGTAGCTCCAGCACCAGTAGCACCTCCAGCAGCGCCAGCAGCACCAGCAGCACCTCCAGCAGCGCCAGCCGCACCGCCAGCAGCAGCAGCACCTCCAGCAGCTCCAGCAGCACCAGAACCAGTAGTACCTCCAGCAGCGCCAGCAGCACCTCCAGCAGCAGCAGTACCTCCAGCAGCTCCAGCAGCACCAGTAGCACCTCTAGCAGCGCCAGCCGCACCGCCAGCAGCAGCAGCACCTCCAGTAACTCCAGAAGCTCCAGAGTCCATGACACCGGGAGCGCCACTCCGGAGACTGCAGCGCCTAGCGTACCACTCTCGGAGCTGCTGGGGAGAGGGCAGCTCCCGCCTAGGAGGGGAAGCACTAGCACCAGCTCCGGCACCACTCCGAGCTCCAGAAGCACCTCTCCTGAGGCTGCAGTACTGTAAGTACCACTCATGCAGCTGCTGCGAGGAGAGGCCTCCCCCAGGTGCAGCACGCTCAGGCTCAGTACTCTCAGACGTAGCACTCCCAGGCTCAGCACCCCCAGGCTCAGCACCTCCAGACTCAGCACCCGCAGGCTCCGCACCCCCAGGCTCAGCACCCCCAGACTCAGCACCCGCAGGCTCCGCACCCCCAGACCCCGCACCCCCAGGCTCAGCACCCCCAGACTCCGCAACCCCAGGCTCCGCACGCTCAGGCTCAGCACCCCTGGCAGGACGAGAGTCGACAGCTACCTCGACAGGCTCAACCGGGTCTACCTGGGACACACCTGAGGGAGCGGCACCCTGAGGGGGGAGGGGGTCTACCACAGCAGCACCTGGCGCGAGGAAGAGAGGCGGGGGGGGGAGCGGGGCAGTGCGGTAGGGGAAGAGGCGGTAGTAGGGCACGGACTCGTCAAAAGTGACGTCCTGAGAGGGCAGGACACGGTGCGAGGTGGCGTGGTAAAACTGCCAACCAGACGCGTCCGGGACAAAGCCAAGGAAGACACAGGGAACAGCGCGGGAGGAGAGCTTGTCCGCGAACGTATCGCGAACAAAAGCTCGGGATCCCCAGACCCGAAAACGCGACGCATCGCCAACCTCTCCCGTCCAACGCAGTGTCGGCGAAGTCTCCGGAACGGAGATACGGGGCCAGAGGTTGAGCTGATGCGCAGCGTATCGGACCGCAAACGGCCACAGAAAGTGGGGGGCAGCCGCATGGACCAAGGAGGTACGAGCAACCTCCATGACCAAACCAATGCGGTGCTCAGCAACCCCATTCTGCTATGGAGAGGCCGGAAGCGTGAACGACTGGCGGATGCCGTGCTCCGCACGGTAGGCTGCCAAGAGGTCAGAGGAGAACTCACCACCTCTGTCAGAGTGCAGACGCAGGACAGGAAAGTCCGAGTGGAACCGCTCACTGAGCTGGAGACGAGCAGCGCGGATCCAAGGGATCAAAACATCAGGGACCTCACCCTTGGTGCGCAAGGGGAAGACCGTGGTGTAGCGCGAGTAGTCGTCAACAACGATCAGGAAGTACCTCTCCTGACCCTGTCCACGGACGCGGGCTGGGCCCCACACGTCCATGTGGAGCGTCTGCAAGGGAGCAGTCGTCGGGGGAAACGAGGAGGAGTGAGGAGCGGCGCGCTGCCGCCCCTCGACACAGGGAAGGCAGGGAGGAGCAGGCGAGGGTGGGAGTGGAGGGAGAACCCTGGGAAGACCAGAGACAAGGTACCGGTTGTGCATGGCACGAAGGCGCTGCACTGACGGGTGACCAAGACGGTGGTGCCAGAGGACAGTCTCGTGTGCCAGAGAGCGACACGAGCAGGGGGCAGACAGCTGACCTGACGCAGACGCAGACGCAGCTACCTGTGGGGACGCAGTGGTCAGTGTGTACAGGTCCGACCCCGGCTGCCGAGTGAAGGTAGCCAGGTGGCGGCCCGTCCGATGCGCACGTGCAGTGTGTCACACGCTCGTAGGCAGGGGTAAACTGGTGGACACCCCCGTCCTGGAGCGCACTACCCGCCACCAAGTTCGTAGAGAACGAGGGGAGGTAGAGACCTGACAGAGTGCCCGACGGGACCGCAGGACAAGGGAGAACAGTAGAGGAGGTCGCAATGACCGGACCCCCAGAGGGGTCAGCGAGGGAGACTGCAACCGGCCGAGCAAGCTGCTCAAGGGCAGTGCGGTCACGAAAGAAACAGCGGGAAGCGCCTGAGTCCAGTGTGAAGGTGTGCAGTGCCTCAGTAGACACAGTACCAGAGGGCGCAGACTCACGAGTACCTAGAGCAGCAGCCTCACCAGCACCTGGGGCAACAGACACACGAGCACCTAGTGCAGCAGCCTCACCAGTACCTAGAGCAGCAGACTGGATACCGGGGTCAGGCGGCACACACAGGTGACAGGCACTCTCAGCACTAGTAGGAAATGCATACATGGCAGTGAGGATAGCATCATAGTCAAGAGCATAGATATCTACCCTCTGCCTAAGCAGCTCCACCCAGTCGGGGAGCTCAGCCGCGTCGCCAAACTCTGTACGCCAGGCGTCGCTCAGACGGGCGAAGCAGCGGGACTCTGTGTGACCAAACGTCCCGCAAGGCTGACCAGTCCGAGCACCAGTGCGAATGACGTACGGGCAGCGAGCAGTACCCCGTGACCCTCCACGCTGAGCGTACCACTCACGAAGCTGCTGGGGCGTGAGGGACTCACTCGGACGTCGCGGGAGCTGCATCTGGCCACTGCCAGGAGCAGCAGTAGCAGTAGTAGCAGCAGTAGTAGTAGCAGCAGCGCGGCCACCCCTACAACCCCAACCAGCATACCACTCACGAAGCTGTTGGGGCGTGAGGGACTCACGCGGACGGCACTGGAGCTGCATCTGGCCACGCCAGGAGCAGCAGTAGAAGTAGAAAGAGCAGTAGCAGCAGGAGCAGCAGTAACAGCAATACGGGCAGGGCAGTGCTCACCAGTGGCGAGAAGGGCAGGCGTACGACGGTGGTAACGGCGAGGCCGCTACCACTGCAGGGCGAGGGCTCCGCGGCAGCTGCAGGGGCGGCTGCTCCAGGGGCCAGGGGCGGCTGCAGAGGTCCAGGGGCGGCTGCTGCAGGGGCAGCTGCTGCAGGGGCGGCTGCTGCAGGGGCGGCTGCTCCAGGGGCGGCTGCTCCAGGGGCCAGGGGCAGCTGCTCCCTTTTTTTTTTTTTTTTTTTATTAATTAATTATTTTAGGGTTTGGCAGAGCGCACTCGGCGCTGCAGAGGCGGCTCGCGGGCTGCAGGGTGGCTCGGTCAGCAGCGAGGGGGGGGGGGGGGGGGCGGCGCGCGGCTCCCCAGGGCGCCGCGACGGGGCAGCGGGGGGGGGGGGGGGGGGGGGGGGCGCGCGCGGCTCCCCAGGGCGTCGCGACGGGGCAGCGGGGGGGTCGCGCGTGGCTCCCTAGGGCGTCGCGACGGGTCAGCGGGGGCCGAGCGCGGCTCCCCAGGACGTCGCGACAGGGCAGCGGGGGCCGAGCGCGGCTCCCCAGGGCGTCGCGACAGGGCAGCGGGGGCCGAGCGCGGCTCCCCAGGGCAACGCGACAGGACAGCGGGGGTCGCGCGCGGCTCCCCAGGGCAGCGCGACGGGGCAGAGGCAGCGCCCACGGGCGACACGCGGCTCGGCAGGGCAGCGCGCTGGCTGCAGGGGCGGCTCTCGGGCCTGACGGGCCTGCAGAGGCGGCTCGGGGGGGCCTGACGGGTCTGCAGAGGCGGCTCGGGGGCCTGACGGACCTGCAGGGGCGGCTCGAGGGCCGTACTAGCTTGCAGGAGGCAGCGCGAGGGCTGCAGGACGGCACGCGGGCAGACCGAAGGGCGGGTCGCACGGGGGCGCACGAGGGCGCACGAGTATAGAAAGGCGCACGAGGGCGCACGTAAGGTAGGACGCACGAGGGCGCGTCTAGCGGAATAGTGGGCCCGTAGGAGAAAGCGGTCCTAGGTAGCAACCTAGGCTCGTGATACCATGTTAGAATGTAGAACTGAACGAGAATGTCTGAAAACTAGGCAGCAGGGTGATACAAGTAGGAAACCCTAGCAATGTTGTACCCCCTAAGGCTAAACCCACTATAGCCTACACAATATGAACATGTATAATGTTTGACACCGGCTGTCGCGGGCTGGGCGGCCGTCCCCTCAGGAACGTCATGGCGCGGTGGCGGAGCTGGGCCGGTCTGATGCTGCGCTCGTGCGCAAGACGCTCATCCTGCTGCATTCAGGCCCGCACGAGGCCCTCGAGCTTGGACATCGCGTCAACGTGGCACCCCTTGATGGTGTCACAGACCAACTTGGCTGCCGCCATGGTGGCGGTCTTGGCAACGCGATGACGCTTGGACGTCGGAGTAGTCTGCGGAGGGGGCGCTGGATAAGTAGGACAATTAACACAGACGACATAATATTAGCCGCTTGTCTTAAATTAATATATGAAGCCACAATAGTCGAAGCAAATGAAGAAAGCGGGTAATATGGTGACGCCCTAGACCAGGAGAATCCAGGAGCGAACAAACACAAACCAATTAAAGTTAGAGTTGAGGTTGCAGGCGCCGAGGTGGAAGGCACAGCAAACTCGCATGGTACGTTCACGTTTGTCGCACCGCCACCGTCCACTACGTGCGGGTCCACGGTCGCTCGGTTATTATGGTAAAGCTCCATGTACGGCCACCAACGAGGCTTGCACACCGCACCCTTCTCCGACGCCTTCACTCCCTTCTTCAGCTGCTTGTAGATGCGCACGAGGTTGCACCACTGCTTCTGCACAGCATTCGAGCTGCACACCCAGCCGGGGTTCTCCTTCTCGATGTGAAGCACGAGGTGGGCCCAGTACTGAGAGCCTTGCTTCTCGATGAGCGGCTCAAGCTCGTCCTTGGTAAACCAACGCGCGGCGACTAAGATCGCGTTCTCCTGCTGGGACCAGCAGCTCCGCTTGACTGGGATCTCGTGGGACTTCGGCTGACGGCGTGGAGGATCACCTCCCTTGTCTTGACACCGCTCGCGGTCTTGGGCCGGCCGCGACGCGCCGCCTGTGTCTCGTGCTGCGCCTCCTCCAGCGCCTCGTCATCCTCGCCCTCAGCCTCGTCGTCGTCGTCCTCGAACATGCCCTTGTCCTCCTCGTCACCAGAGTCGTCGCCGTCCGTGCCAACGTCGTACTCGTTGTAGTCGGACTCTTCATCCTCGTTGACGAACGTGTCGTCCTCAACGGTGCGCGACGACGCCACCCTGTCAGAACCACGTCGCCCACGGGACGGCACATCGCGAGGGGCTTCAAAAGAGGTTCCGCCCGGCGACGGAATCCCCTCGGGTACAGGGCCGCCGGGCTTGCGACCAGCGGCAATCTGCTTGTTCATCCATCCTATGTATGGGATCTCATTGAGATCCTGCGGGCAACTGTCGCGTGTGTCCAAAGCGCTCTTGCGCTTACGGGCCATAGCTTCCATGCAGAGTAGATCTAGAGATGTGGCTGAAAGAGAAACAAGAAATGGAGATGGGAGGAGACGGAATTGAACAAGATGGAGAGGGAGGGGTGGGTACGAGCACCAGGGATGGAGTGGGTTCGGTAGGCATTCCCGTGAGAGGGCACGGTGCATGTCTGGCAGGGATGTTTAACCCTGCCCGAGGACCGCGGGTTCTTTTCCCGCCCGAATCTGGCAATTCGTGGAGTGTCCAAGTGCATGCGGTCGGGTCGGCATAAACCTTGAAATTTCGACATGCGTGCGACGAGATGGACGTGACCTGGCCTCGTCCAACTCGTCCGCTACTCTAGCGCATTCCACGCCAACCAATCTTAAATACAATACAATTCGCCTTAGGGCGACGCGTGTTTGTGATACAATACAGTTTATGCTGTTTTTGCGCGTCACATAGTGTTTGATGTCAGAATATGTTATTTGTCTAGCCTGCAGTGGGGTACTCAATAGTGAGTGCAATCATCCATTCTGTTTCTATCATTCTCCTCTCTCCTTGGCACAACCTTCTAGTCTCACTGTGGCCTAGGCTACTAAGCCTAGGCCCTACTCCTAGTAATTCTGACATGGTATCTAGAGCGAGCACGTTCCTGCCGCTTCCCTTAACGGGCCCACCAACTGCTTCCGCTGTCGTTCTGTCTGTCGCGCGCCCCGTGGTGCGCGACGTGTTATTTTCTTTCCGCCACGTGCTCCGAGCGCGTGGCGGCTTTTTCTGCCCGCCGCGCGCTCGGGGCGCGTGGCGGTTTCACCGTCCGTCGAGGCGCCTTCAGGGGGCCCGTGCGCTGCCACCCGTCGCCCGTCGCGGGGCCCTTAGGGGGCACGCGCGCGGCCCCACGTCGCCCGTCGAGGCGTCTTCAGGGGGCCCGCCCGCTGCCCCCCCCCCCGTCGACCGTCGCGGCGCCTTCAGGGGGCCCGCGCGCTGCCGCCGTCGCTCGTCGAGGCGTCTTCAGGGGGCCCGCCCGCTGCCCCCCCCCCCCCCCCCCCCCCCCCGTGGACCGTCGCGGCGCCTTCAGGGGGCCCGCGCGCTGCCCCCGTCGCTCGTCGCGGCGCCCTCAGGGGGCATGCGCGCGGCCCCCCCCGTCGCCCGTCGTGGCGTCTTCAGGGGGCCCGCGCGCTGCCCCCGTCGCTCGTCGCGGTGCCCTCAGGGGGCATGCGCGCGGCCCCCCCCGTCGCCCGTCGTGGCGCCTTCAGGGGGCCCGCGTGCTGCCCCCGTCGCTCGTCGCGGCGCCCTCAGGGGGCATGCGCGCGCCCCCCCCCCCCCCCCCCGTCGCCCGTCGTGGCGCCCTCGGGGGGCCTGCGCGCTGCACCCCCTCAGCCGCCCCTGCAGCAGCCGCCCCTGGCCCCTGGAGCAGCCGCCCCTGCAGCAGCCGCCCCTGGCCCCTGGAGCAGCCGCCCCTGCAGCAGCCGCCCCTGGCCCCTGGAGCAGCCGCCACTGCAGCAGCCGCCCCTGGCCCCTGGAGCAGCCGCCCCTGCAGCAGCCGACCCTGCAGCTGCCCGCGACGCCGCTCCTGGACCCTGTGCAGCCACCCTGTCTCACCCGCGCCCTCGTGCGCTCTGCTCTGCCCGCGCCCTCGTGCGCTCTGTCTCACCCGCGCCCTCGTGCGCTCTGCTCTGCCCGCGCCCTCGTGCGCTCTGCTGCTGCCCGCGCTCTCGTGCGCTCTGCTCTACCCGCGCCCTCGCGCGCTCTGTCCTGCTCTACCCCCCCCCCCCCCCCCCCGGTCCCCTGGACATGAGGGTGTGGGGGTGGCGGGTGTGGGGGTGATACGTGTGCGTCGTCCCTTCCTTCTCCTACTCCGTCTCCCACTGCTGCAGCTGCCGCTGAGGGGGGTGGGTGTGTGGGAGCCGAGGGAGTGGCGCTAGGGGGGTGTTGTGGGAGTGGAGCTAGGGGTTCAGCAGGGGGTGTGTGAAAGGGGGGTGGGACAGTTGGGGGAGGTTGTGCGGAGGCTGCCGTCTTGTCGTCCGCAGCACCTGTAGTCCGGGGCTCTGCCGCTGGTAGCCCAGAGAGCCTGCTGCGCCTGTCGCCCGTGGGTCCGTTGCTCCTGCCGCTCAAAGTTAGCCGCAGAGCCAGTTACTCCAGTAGTCCGGGGCGCTGTCCCGGTAGCCACTGTGCCAGCCGCTCCTGTCGCCCGTGTGTCTGCAGCTTCAGCCGTCGCCTCCCATCTCCTCTCCTCTCACAGTCCCTCCTCCTCCTCACTTGCCCTCTGTGACTGCCTCTAGCTCTGGTTGTGCTTGTGACTTATTCTATGACTTCTTGCTGTGCTGATTATACCCCACTTTGACTATGTGGGTGTGTCAGAATATGTTATTTGTCTAGCCTGCAGTGGGGTACTCAATAGTGAGTACAGCCCTTTAGGGTTTCCTATTTGTACCAACCTGCCTGCTAGTGCAATCATCCTTTCTGTTTCTATCATTCTCCTCTCTCCTTGGCACAACCTTCTAGTCTCACTGTGGCCTAGGCTACTAAGCCTAGGCCCTACTCCTAGTATGTCTGACATTTGAGACACAAATGTCGATATTGAGAATGTACCGTTATACTTAGCTTCCACCAATTTTCGATTCCGTTCCGTTTCCGCTCATTTCAGCGGTGCTCGTAGACAACACCTTTGAATAAGTGAATCCCGTTAATTATCTGGATCATAAATACTTCCTCTTTTCCTTCATGTTTCCGTTGTGCATCGAGCGTTTTGTAACGAGATGTTGAATCAGAGCCGCGCGACGCGGCGCCGGCGGCCGTGACGGAATCCGCCAAGAAGTGGGCTGGGGCTTGGGAAATGGTGGACAAGGTGTTCCTTGCTACGCGACACTCGATCAACTGTATTCGACAAAACATGTGAACCTTGCAGCAATGGTAGGGATTTGGGTTTTCGTCCCCCACAAGGTTGTTGTTCTGGTTAAGCATCGGAAAGTTAGAACGAGGAAGGCATTTACCTACTCAGTCATACCTTGCTGGCAAATCTAGGGAGCCCAGAACTTCGAGTCGAGTGCTTTCAACGACTTCCTACATACTAGCCAATCACTTCCACACTATCCGAACGCGGGAACCCCGAAACTTTCACAGTCTTCAGTTGGTAGGGCGACTGTTGCAATACATGTACTTACCTGCCATTGCAGGGTGAATCCGAGCTCATACACAAGCCTTGGCAGATGGAACGTTGCCATAGTCCATTTTACCAGGGTAAATACAAGTTTAGGATGAGTAATCCTGACACCCTGATTCCTTCAAACAAGATCGCATTCTGAGAGGCATACTATCTCTGGTGTAGGGATTTCCACCACTTGCAGACGGATGCAAACATTTCATAGTTGACTTTAATCCAAACTAGCTTTGTCAAAAACATTTACTTGTAATTTCCATAACTACAGTCTAGCATAAGACAGAGGTCAACGAGTATCGACAAACCTGGATGGCATCGAGGGCCAAGGTGCCAACGACTTCACTCACGGTTGAGAAACGATGCGTATTTGGGCGGCTGATTCAAGTGTTTTGGTAGGATGATTGCCATTTGGGTGTTTTGAACCTTTACTCTGAACATTATACACCTAGTCCGCGGTATTTTAACCACGTGAACTGTTTTGCTTCAAACACCCTTTGTTCATTTTCGGGTAATGAGATGGGCACCCAGAGACTTCAAGGCTATTGTTTCGCAGCCAGAAGCATTTCCTTTTAAAGAAACTCACACTTAGTGCTCCAAAATAGAGGGCGGATCGGCATTGACCAGGTTTTGACTGCCGTCGCCTCACAAAGGGTATGCTAGATTCTACCCTCAATAAATTTTAAAACTACTCGTATAAAAAAGTTTGACCAAGGAGAAGTACCCTCGCGCGGTTAAGATAGCGGCGGTTAAAATACCGCGGACTAGGTGTATTGTCGATCATTCGCTGATGTAGCCCTTGTCAATGCTGTAAATACTTTCAAGCAAATCAGTCACACCAGCGAGACCTAGGTACTGTAGATTCGAGGCGGCCAGGGCAGTGTCGCGAGTGACGAGTTTAACAGCAAAAGTAGGAAACAGAATAGTCAACGACATATGGTAGTATTTCTTTCGGATGTCCTACATTTGAAAACAGGATGAAACGCCCTGAAATCTCGAGTCATGGTTTTGTTTTTGTTATGAAAGTAGCACTATTATTTTACAATACATTGGCAGCCGTAACCGGAGTCATGGTTTTAAAGCGAAGCATACTACTGGGTGTACTTGTTCCAGTGTTCGCGGCAATTCAGGAAGCTTGCGTAGTGGCCCTACAAAACAAAGAACTACTGGGTGTACTTGTTCCATTGTTCGCGGCAATGCTACTATTCTAAAGACTATATTAAAGAGAGTGAACTGCCATGTCCCCATGCTACTTAATTGCCTCAATTAAGGTTTTTCTACCCCTTGGGGTTCTCTATTGCGTCTTCAGGTAAATTTTCCAACCAGCCTTCACGAACCTATTCAACCTTCAACCAAGACAACAGCAATTCAAGGAAGGCTCCAATCGGGCAGGATGAAGTTTTTAGGTACCTGGTGTTTAAGCATCCGTAAGGAATCCGAGAGGGTACGGCTCTCTGTGCCTTGGCCCTCTAGACTCGGTTATGACCGTGAATGGTGTTTTTAGCGTTGTATATAAACGTGAATGGTCCTAAAAAACAAAACAACGCAAGTGAGGTCGTTGACTACAATCGTCCGAATAGGTTTTTCAAGTAAAAAACAAAACTGTCCACATTGACGGCTTGTCATTCATCTCCCAGTTGACCTGTCAACTTCTGAAAAGCTGCCACATGCACAAGTGGGATTCTAGAGCCAACCCTTGTCGTCAGTGTACAAATATCTGTTTCTTCCCGCACAAATCTGACAGAAAACAGGTACACTACTTGCATAACGACGCGTAAAGTCCTTCAAGAGAGGTGCCTGATTGACGACACAGTCAGTGCGAATCCAGGGCGTGATACACCGAGCAAACTAGTTCCAAACGGGTCTGGATGCAGACGGGATCAACGTTTCGTTGATGTCGTGAATGGTCTCGCAAATGATTGTAATACTTGTGTCGTCATAAATGGTCGTTATGGTACATGAAAACAAAAATGTCCGAACGGAAAACCCACGTTTTTAGCCAGTCTGGGCGAATCCAAGGGTGTACCTACCGAACAGTCGAAAAAAAGAAAGTCCGTTTCCTGCCATTTTGTTAGATGTAGGACGCCCTAACAGGTTAAAGAAATCAGTGGACTGAACATAAACGGGCATCTCAAGATCAGTGACACTCAGCATATCCCAGTCACTGACCGGCGTCAACAATCGGACGTCCCCAAATCCATTACGGCTTATGGTGAAGCACCATCCGACGATTAGGTTACATCTGCGTTGGAGCCGGCGTATCCTGACACCAGGACAATTTGTAACCACACGAGGCGTAGCTGTGAAGCGATAAGGTTCAAAACAAAGTGCATCTGGATGGCAAATTCGGCTCCAGGGGTGAGGCATCTCGCCCGCGAGAATGTCGGTGTCAGAGAATGTGGGAGAAATGGAGCTTCCTCAACTTGAACGAGTCGATGCGTGCTCAACCTCAGGTTTGGCCAGATCTACTACTAGTCGATGCAGCAATTCCAACAGGAGTGTCCAGTTTGAGTTTGGAAAGTGTGGTATAGTATTGCAACTAGTAGTAGTAGTACCACCACTACTAGTACTAGTAGTACTACTGCTTTTCGCCACAAGTACCAGTATCGGTACTACCAACCGTACAGTTATCTCACACGATGCTTCGGGCAACAGCGGTACTAGCAATGGCGGCGCGGCTTGCGTGTATGATGGCCGTGCTGCTGCTTCTGTCGAGCGACAGCAGTTGGCCGGGCGACACGCCGCAGAGTCGGTCTCCTGGCGTCACAGTGCATGCAAGCACCACCATTAATTCAGCGCAAGGTGGGCCTCCCGGGCGCGCACGCAGATTATGTCCCAATTATGAACCTTGAATAGTTTAATGAGCATCACGTGGGGCCACACTAGCTTCTAGTAGTAGTAGCGTTTCTTTCCTCCTCATCATCTTCATGCTTGACCAGTCTCCCCGTCCACTTTGGCCGGAAGGGCCAGCGGCTCATCCGACTTGGACAAACTTCCGCTGTGGTCGTACTAGGCGAGTATTATTCCCACTGCCCCGTGCCACCCGCCCACCCGCAGTGCTAGCGCTGTACGCCATCAAGTCCGCACTGGGCCTGACGTTCACCAAGTGGTCGTCGACCAACTTCCCCTACTGCGCCGTCCCTGGCCAGATCCAGTCGTATGATTGGGACAAACTCGTTTGCAGCGCTGCCGGGGACGTGATATCAATATAAGGCCGGCGTCTGTGCTCCGCGCTTGCTTGCTAAATTTCAATGTAAGGCCGGCGTCTGTGGCGCTCTCCGCTGCGTGTTTTCTGTGCTCCGCTTCTTGCTTGCTAGATTCCTCTGAAAGATTCGTAGATGTCTGATCGCTGTACCCAGCCTGACGCGTGTGTATGCGCGCACGTGTGTGTGTGTGTGTGTGTGTGTGTGTGTGTGTGTGTGTGTTTGTGTGTGTGTGTGCGCGCGCGCGCGTGATTCCATTTTCTGGCAGGGATTTGTCTGTACTCTTCATCACTCGCAGGGACCTCCCCCCCGACATAACCCTGCTTTCAGCACTAACTTCAGTGTGAGTGGAGCAACTTCCAACTTGAATTGCGTTTTCTCATCCGCACGAGACTTACCATCCTTCCATACACCTTAGCAGTTGGTAGAGCCACTGATAGTTTCCACCACGATTTCCTTTCACCCGTCTGATCCGTCCGATCGCAGAGCGATGGATCGGAACTTGCTGGACGGCAACCTGGGGACCTACCTCAAGTACTTCACGAGGCTCTCCGCCCTCCAGAGCCTGTGAGCATCATCAGCGCCAACTGTCCATGCTCTTCAACTTCCGCAACATTGGCGCCTTCCATCAGATCGTCCAACCCTTGTCCGCCTGCTCGTCCTTCCGTCCGCCCGCATGCAATTCGTTCCTCCGTCCCTCCTTCTGTCCGTCCGTCCATCTGTCCGTCAGTCCGTCCGTCCGTCCGTGCGTCCGTGCGCCCGTCCATGAGCATCCATTCCTTGATTTCATTCCTCCTTCATCCTTGTGCCTCTTATTGGTCTTCCTATCTCCGGCTTCCTCTCTCAGGTCGATGCCCAATATGTATTTCTCTGGAAGTTTCCCAAGCTTCCTCCTGGACTTGACGAGCCTTACAGCAGTGTAAGTATAGTGCAGCAAGCTGTCCTTTGTCCCGAATCCTCCCTCTCTTTCCTGTACTCCTCCCTCTCTCTCTCTCTCTCTCTCTCTCTCTCTCTCCCTTTCTCTCTCTCACTCTCTCCCTCTCTCCTCCCTCTCACTCTCTCCCTCTCCCGCTCCCTCTCTCTCTCCCTCTCCCTCTCCCTCTCTCGCCCTCTCGCTCACCCTCTCCCTCGCTCTCTCGCTCTCCCTCTCGCTCTCGCTCTCTCGCTCTCTCGTTCTCGCTTGTGCTCTCTCGCTCCCTCTCTTTCCGTCTCACTCAATCTCTCTCCCTCGCTCTCGCTCTCTTTCGCCCTCTCGCTCCCGCTTGCTCCCTCTAGCTCCCTCTCGCTCCCTCTCGCTCCCTCTCGCCCCGTCTCGCTCCCTCTCGCTCCCTCTCGTTCTCCCTCGCTCTCCCTCGATCTCCCTCTCGCTCTCCCTCGCGCTCTCGCTCTCGCTCTCCCTCTCGCTCCCCCTCTCGCTCTCCCTCTCGCTCTCCCTCTCGCTCTCCCTCTCGCTCTCCCTCTCGCTCTCGCTCTCTCTTTCTCACACACACACTCTCTCTCATGTCATGTCACCCTGCCACCCACACCCTTACAGGGACTTCTCATACAACTACCTCATAGGATCGCTCCCGGCCAGCATCACCAAGATGAAGGTCCTCAATATCCGCAATAACTACTTCATTGGAGCTATGCCAACCTCCACCTGGACCGTATGCTCCTTCGGCACCAATTGCCTTACTTCCCTTGGAGGCTGCACTTCTGGCTACACCACGCAGCGCAGCAGCTGTAGCGTCTGTGGCACCGCTTCTGGCACTGGGACGTGTGCGGTGGGGCAGTCATGCGAGCCAGATGACGACGCCAGGATTGCCGCCGGAACAATGAACGCTGGGGTCGCTGACCTGGCGCTGATTTGCAAATCGTATTCCACTCTGTTGGACGCCACACAGGGTCAGTGCTCCTCATATCTCTCAAGTGATTCTGTGTCGCTTGCTACCACGCACTATCTTCAACGCTAGCGCACTCCCGCATCGCGCCATCTGCCATGCCACCATCTCTGGCCTTTCATGGGTCCTTGCCCATCCCATTCTGAGCGCTGCCAATGCCATGCACGTCCTATCTAGGACACATATTCCTTCTTCCCTTAGCACCCCTCTCTTTCCACCTTCGGCTCTTGCACTCCGTCGTGCATACTTTCATTGTCTCGCGTCTCGCCTCTCACATGCCCCGCCCATGTTCAAGGCACCCAACCTGCTCTCTCTTAGTCTTCCAACCCACTTTTCTCTTTGGCAACTCACTTCTCTCTTACTCTGCCAATCCGCATCTATCTTCCTCTGCATATCCACTTTTCAATACTCCTGTCACTCCAGCCTGAACAATTTACCTGTCTCACCCTTCGAAATGCACCCTCTGACACTTTCAGTGCAAGCACTACAGAGTGTCGAGGATGCTTTGATTGGAGTGCACCAACACAGGCTTCGTTCCCTCTCAACATTTCCTTCCCCAATACTCTCCAAACGAAACCACCTGCACCCCGCCCCTCCACCACCCCTTCCCCCTTCCTCCCGCACATCTCCCCTACCCATTCCCCATCTACCCCTCCCTTTCCCCCTCACTTCCTCCGCCCTCCTCCTCTCCCCGTCCCCTGGCAGGCAATGCAATGATGGCGTTGAAGACTGCACTGGGTGTGACCCTCACCACATGGGACACCACCAACGTCTGCCGCATCACCGGAGTTGTAACGCCCACCCAGAACGAGTGGGCCAATGTGTTCTGCACTGCTACCGGCTCGGTGCAGTCCATGTGAGTGGGCAGCGGGGCATGGATGTGGCACGGGCGAGGCATAGGTGCACGTGCATGGGCTGTAAGCTAGCAACAATGTCGAGCGACAGACCCCGTGCGTCATTTTACCTGACAGGGGGTGCAATGCCGGTAAGCGGCGCTCCCGCTTGAGTAACATTGAGTTTTATTCACAGCAAGAATTCAGAGCTCGATAGACTGCTTATTGGAGGGCTAGCCAGACAGCCTCTCACCTTCCTTGCACACCCATCCCTCTGCCCCTCAAATTACTCCCATGCAGCTCAGCGACGCGTCAGAGTCTGAAGGGGTATGTTCATTCGGACATCTCCAAGCTCACCGCGCTCACGTACCTGTAAGGCTCGAATGGGGAGTGCAATGCACACATACCTGGAAAAACCAGCCAGACAGAATTCTGAGAATTCTCAGAAGGGAGAGAGAGACATGATAATGCTGTTGTCATGGTCTTATTTTCTCCGCTGCTGCTTTCCGCTTTCCCCACCCTTTTCCCTTCCCCACCCTTCAGGGATCTGAGTTACAACCTCTTTCAGGGAAGTCTTGAATTGTTTTCCGCACCCCTTCAAAGCGTGCCCACTCTTAAGGCGCTGTAAGTACCTGTATTTCTTGCACCTGTGTTCCTTGTAAGAGTTCTAAAACCATTCCCATGATCTATATTTTGTATTATCTTTCAGGGGCCGACCTAATGCACAGGCTAAACTTGGCGTATGTTTTTACAAACGAAACCATTTCCCTCACCCTTTCCCCCTTTCCAACCACCACCCTCCTTCTCTTACGCCTCACCCCCCTTCCCCTCCCTTCCCCTCCCTTCCCCATCCCCCCGTCCCGCCCTAAACTTGACCATACCGTAGACATGACACACTGTTTGTCAAACAAAAGAACCGATATTGTTTCTGTGTAACCTTTCCTCTGGCCGTTCTGAGACTGCATGGTACATTGATCTCTCATCCCCTTCCATCCTGGTGCACTCCTGCTCCTCCAGCTTCTTCAGCTACAACTGGTTTGCGGGATCCATTCCTTCCATCATTGCCTCCCTCCCGAAGCTCACCACACTGTGAGTGACCCACGTCTGTCCGTCTGACCTCTATCCGTCCATCCTTCCATGCATTTAAAATCGTAGGGCAATCTAAACCCTACCACTAAACCCCGTATTCTCACTCTCGTCTCACCTTTTCGTCTCTCATATCTTGGCTCACTTACTTTACCCCCCCTCTCTCCTATCACCCTCCCTCCCCTCTCCCCTTTTCTTTCTCCCCCCTTCCTCCAGAGGCCTCTTCTCCAACTACCTCACGGGCACCATGCCCATTCCCACCACCTCCCTGGTCGCTCTGGACGTGGGCTTTAACTTCCTCTCGGGCTCGTTCCCCAAGCTCTCCCTCGCGGTGTGCGCGGCCGACCAGAACTGCTTCCTCTCCTCCTCCTACTGCCACACCTACGGCGCTCAGCAGCGCCCCTACACTGCCTGTGCCATGTGTGGCACGACCAACGGGCAGGGGGTGCTGTGCTCTGGCAACCTGTGTGCCCCCAACAGCAGCAGCGCAGTCAGCCAGGGGATTGTCAACATTCCCTCACTGGTGCCGATCCCAATGACGTGTCCAGGTGAGTGCGTGGCATGCTGGGTCACTGAGGGAATGCTGTTGTGCCAAGAACGAGGGTAGAGGCCAGCATACAGGCAGGAGCTTGCGATTGCCCGCTACTGAGCTGGTTTGGAGACCAACCTCATTAGTAACCCGTCAAAGGAAATGGTTGCAGTAGCCATAAGTTAGGTACTTTTCTCCAACTAGAAATAGATCTTAATCCTCTTTTGCAAGCATTTCCCATCTGAGTTGTTGTGTGTTTGTGCCTCTCTGACTGTGCGCTTGTGTGTAACTGCCCAGGATATTTCCCTCTGGTCCTCATGGATGCTGCCTCAGGTGTGCCATCTCTCCTTGTACTACCACCCTTTCTCCTCCGCCGCCCTCGTTCCCTGCAGTGCATTGCACACCCATGTCTCACTCTGTCTGTCCGTCATTTCAAGGCCATACGTGTACCAAACCTCTTCACATCAAACCGATCTCTGTGTCTCGAACGGTCCGTCGTATTAATATCACCAAGGTGCACACAGGGTAAGGCAACACCAACACACAGCAAAGCTACAGTAGCAATCAACTAACCTAGCACAACAACAACCGCCCCTTCCCCTTCCGTCCCTAGTGGCCGGAGGGGTATTCTATTAGTTGGTACAGCTGGCCCTCGCTCAGTGAAGTGAACGGGCCCTGCAGGCCTAGCACATCCGCGGTAAGAGCCTCATGGGTCTTATCCCTGAGGGCGTTGGGTTGGGCTCTCTGCAGGGTCACGCTCCATCGCTGCCGGTATTCGGTAAATAGCTTAGCCACCTCTCTCCCCCTCCCTCTCCCTCCCTCTACTTTGTTTATTTATAACCGCTTTCACCTTTCCCTTTCACTCTCCCTTCACTCTAACCAGTGTCGATTATGCTGGGCATAAAGTCAGTCATGGGAGTGACCTACACTACCTGGGACCCCGCATCCCTGTGCCTTGCGGGCTTCGGCACTCTTTTCCCAACAACAGCCCCTCTCTGGACCGGAGTGATGTGCTCCACTGCTGGAGCAGTCACACGTGTGTGAGTGTTGCAAGTAACCATGATGAGTTTGCGAGTATTTCAGGTCATACAATCGTGGAGCGATCACACAGTTGCGATAGATTCTGTCACTCAGCACTGCATTTCCACTTTCCACCTATGCTCCTGTTGAGACGCCTGCCAAGTGCGGGAAGGGGCACATTCTCAAATTACACTAGCGGTTTGCTGCCCGCACACCTCTTCTCACACCACGCCACATCGCATTGCCGCATGGCTCTTGGTTTCTTAAGCTCCCTGTCCTCCTTACCATCAAAACCATGCGGTTTCCTCCAGGACCATCTTGAACCGGACACCATATCTCAAGGGGAGCCTGGCTGCCGACATTACTAAGCTCTCGGACCTCGAACTTCTGTCAGCCCTCTTTCCTCCTCCTCTTCCCCCTTCCCCTCGGATCTCCTTCCTTCAAACCCCCCCCCCCCCCCCCCTCCCCCCCCCCCCCCTCCCCTTCCCCCCCTTTCTATTCCTCTTTCTCCCCTCACATCTCTCTCCCACACTTCCATTGTGATAGTTGAATGTCTGAGTCACTAGTTGTCGTACTTGCACACACGCTTTCATAGGCAGAAAAGCGTCTATGCATGCTGTTGCCATGCCTCCGCTGCCATGTGTCGTCATCCCATGTGTTGACATGCCCATGCCATGTGCCGCCATGTGCTGTCATGCCATGCCCATGCCATACGTGCACTGCCTGTCTTCCCATGTGCCTACCCCCAATCAGAGACCTCTCTTCTAACCTCATCAATCTCCGCTTGGATTCCTACACTACCAACCTCAAGAGCGCCTCAAAACTACAGACCTTGTGAGCAGCCAATAGCCTGTCGGCAGTCAACAAGTACATGTGAGCAGCGAGCACTCAATGAAAGAGCATGTGAGTTTCGGTGCAACCTGTTTGAATGCTGACTGTACGGGAATAAGAATCGCTAACATTCTCGTACAGTAGGCAGGTGGCACATGAAAAATAAGCTGTTCAGTTGTCTCTGCTTTCACCTGGCAGAATGCTTTCGCATTGGCGAAGCACCCTTCTTGCAAACGCTTCCAGAGCTTTTTCTTGACACTCATTCTCAACTGAGTGGCCTCTCCGGTTTTTCTTCCCCGGCCTTGAATTGGCAGAACTCTGTCTTACAACTACCTCTACGGTGACATCCCTTCATTCCTCGTGAATCTCCCTGCCCTCACATCGCTGTAAGTAAAAACATCAGGCAAGCTATACCTTCGTATCCTTGTCCTTCCCTAACCTTTTGTCTCTGTTTCCCGATACCCAACCACTCACCACCATTCACAATCTTTCTTGTCCCCTCGCCTCCCCTCCCCACTCCCGTTCCCTCCATCCCTCGCCTCCTTCCCCTCCACTCCGCTTTCCCCAACACTATCTCTCTGCAGCTCCCTGCAGTCCAACTACCTCACTGGCAGCTTTCCACCCCTGCCGGCGACCATGCAGAGGCTCAACTTTGGAAAAAAATTCATTTCAGGCATCTCCACCCACTCGCTTATCAGCTGCTTCGCCCAATTGAACTGCCTACCGGACCCCTCCAAGTGCAACAATGGCGGTACCACGCAGAAAAGTGCTGCTGTCTGCGCCATCTGTTGCACTACCATTGCCATTCCTCCCCTGTGCTGGGGTGCCGGGGGAGAGTGCGTGCCTGTTGCTGCTGCTACGATTGCTGCCAGCACAGTCAGCTCATTAAAGTCGGCCATCCTACCCATGACATGCTCAGGTGACTACCCTCTCCTTAGGCTTCTGTTCATGGTGCTGCAGGGGGGGTTGCGTCAGTCGGGGATGATAGAATGCGCTGCATTGTGCGTGGAATGGAATATGTGTATGTTTCAAGTTGTGCATACATGCGCACCCTCCTTCTTCTCCTTCTCCATTCTTCTTCTGCTTCTAGGTTTGCTGTGCTTCTGCTTCTGCTGCTGCTGACAGTGATGATGCTGATGATGATGATGATGATGATGATGATGATGATGACGACGATGGGAATGATGCATCATGCACTGGGTCAACCTCTCCATTGCCCAACCTCCCTGTACTCTATTCCCCTCTGCAGGCGGTCCTCTAGCCTCCGTGTCATCCAGCAGCGTCACAGGTGTGTGTCAGTCAGTGCATGATGCATCAAGCAGTGCTGGTTCAACTTCCTGCACCTTGCCCACTCGCTCGCCATGCACCTTCCATCTGATCCAGGTGCCTTCTTTGTTAGAACTCAGGCTTAGAAGCGATACATTAGTAATGAGCTTGAAGCTCTTTAAGTACATCCAAGAAGGGTAGGGAATGGATGGGGAAGGGAATCGAGGGCAATCCCTAGGGATTGGGGGTAATCCCAAGGCAATCTCCAATTGGTGGGTTGGAGATTGCTTGGAGATTACATTTGGGTTTGGTTGGGATGTAGGTGTACACCCAACCAAACACAATGTGCAAACTACACTACTCTAGGATATAGAAAATACAAAGTACAAAGTGTGAGATTGAAGGCTAACACTAACATTCTTTCCACCCCTCTCCCCTCTTCGCTAATTTCTCCGCACCCCCCCTATTTCTCCCTCTCTTCCTTGTTTCCTTTGCTCTCCCCTTCTAACCCCTTTCCCCTCTGTTCCTCCTTCCGTCCTCTTTTCTATTTTCTCCTCTCACCTGGCTTCCACTTCACCCCTCTCACTCCCCTCTTCCCTTTCCACGTCTCTCTCCTTTCTTCCCTTTCCCCTTCTATCTCTCCCTTCTTCCTCTTTCCCCTCCCTCCCCTCTCCCTTTTTCTTCACTCACCCCCTCGCTCTCCCCTCGCCAGTGCTGCTGGCGCTCAAGGCATCGCTGGGCGTGACTTTCACCACGTGGGCAGCAAGTGTGCCGTGCCAAGTGACGGGCAAGGATCCTGTAGCACTGTCCACGTGGACCAACGTGCTCTGTGACGACACCGGTGCAGTCCTCTACATGTGAGCACCATGCTTCAATTCACATAACCATGCATGCTTCACCTGGGAGAAGCAAGGGCATGTGGGAAGCACTAGCTGTGTGAGGGAGAGTTGAGACCGATAGAGTTTTTTCATGACACACCCTTACATGGTCTTAACGACAAAGCTTAAATGCGTCCAGTTGCAAGATGTTTGGGCATTCTATCTTTGTCTTATGATGCTGTTCTTCGAAGCCCCTATTCACCAAGAGGGAAGGAGAGGGTCAGGTAGCCAGCCTATAACACCTTCCTTGCACACCCATCTCTTTTCCTCTCCCATCACTTCCTCACAGATCGTTGGCAAAGCAGGGTCTTACAGGGTCTATCCATTCGGACATCTCCAAGCTCACTTCACTCACGTACCTGTAAGGCCTGAATGTCAAATCCTCAAATACATGAAAGGCACAGATAAAATGTCTTGCCAGATATACTAATTCTGGGCAGTACACACTATTATAATCTGGCACACCAGAAACCTGCCAGCCTACCCCTTCAAATCTCTGCATTTCTCAACCCTATCCTTCCACACCCGCCTCAGTGACTTTGGCTACAACCTCTTTCAGGGAGCTCTTGACTCCTTCTCCTCATCACTTCAGAACGTTCCCAGTCTTAAGGCGCTGTAAGTACAACTTCCAAGCATTTCCCGCCTTTTTTAAGAAATGAGCAAAGTCTCTCGTCAGGACCATCCTTGTTCGTGAAGACGAGCAAGTATCGACATCGAACCAGTTCAACTTGAAAACTTCCTGCTATTCGTTCTCCTTCCTCCCTCTCCAGCTTCTTCAACTACAACTGGTTTGCGGGATCCATTCCCTCCTTCATCGCCTCTCTGCCGAAGCTCACCACACTGTGAGTCAGCCACGCATGCTGGAGTAACTTTTGAGTCTCAGAAGCCACTCGTGCACATGCAGCTTCATGCATTCAACCATGCATCCACGCATGCATCCATCCATCCATCTATCCATCCATCCATCCATCCATCCATCCATCCATCCATCCATCCATCCATCCATCCATCCATCCATCCATCCATCCATCTATCCATCCATCCATCCATCCATCCATCCATCCATCCATCCATCCATCCATCCATCCATCCATCCATCCATCCATCCATCCATCCATCCATCCACGCATGCATCCACGCATGCATCCATCCATCCGTCCATCCATCCATCCATCCATCCGTCCATCCATCCATCCATCCATCCATCCATCCATCCATCCATCCATCCATCCATCCATCCATCCATCCATGCATCCATCCATCCATCCATCCATCCATCCATCCATCCATCCATCCATCCATCTATCCATCCATCCATCCATCCATCCATCCATCCACCCAGAGAGCAAGCAGTTATTATTCCTCATTTCACTCTCATGCCTGCATACTCTAAAATTGGAATCAAAACATCCTCCCCCCCCCCCGCGCAATCCTCCCCCCCCCTCACACCGCCCCACCCCACTCCCACATCCCCGCAGAGGCCTCTTCTCCAACTACCTCACGGGCACCATGCCCATCCCCTCCACCTCCCTAGTGACTCTGGACGTGGGCTCTAACTTCCTCTCGGGCTCCTTCCCCCAGCTCTCTCTCAAGAGTTGTTCGGCGGACCACAACTGCTTCCTCTCCTCCTCCTACTGCCTCTCCTCTGGACTGCAACAGCGCCCTGCCTCTGCCTGTGCCATCTGCGGCACCACGTATGGACAGGGAACGATGTGCTCTGGCAGGCTGTGCGGCCCCAACAGCACTGACGCAGTAACCCAGGGGGTTGTCAACTCGCCCACTCTGACTCTGCTGCCCATGCAGTGTGTAGGTGAGAGTGTGTGTCATGCTGGATCGGAGAGGGAAGATTCGTGTGGCAAAAACGAGGGTAAAGACCAGCTTCAGAATAGATAGAAGAAGAAGCTCTGAACAACATAAATTCATAATAGAAATAGTTTGAAGAAATCTCAGATGCACGTTGAAGGAAGGTACATTTTCCAACAACGAAAGTTTCATTTCTTTCTTGCATCGTAAGCATTTTCATCTAAGTTTTTGTCTGTTCTTGCATCTCTGACTGTCCGCTTGTGTAACTGTGCAGGGCTTAGCGGTGTGGTCTTCGTAGATTCTGCCTCCTGTGAGCCTTCTCTCCTAGCACAAGCAACATCCATGCTCCACTCTCTCTATCTCTCTCAATCGGTCCATTGTTGATGCACGTATAGATAGTCGCGGATATAGCAGGCGAGTGAGTGCAAAGCCTGAATGTTTCCAGAAACATTCCTATTCCTAGGGCAGCCTATCACATTCTCCACAAACATTCCTGCACGCTCACCAGTACAGCATCCCACACCCATTCGTGCACACTCCTATCACATTTTCTCTGTCAATCCTCTCCGGTGTCGTGTACCAAATCCCTCCTCTTCCACCTTTCCCTTTCTCTCCCCTTTCCCTCTATCCAGTGGCGGTAATGCTGGCCATAAAGTCATCCTTGGGATTGACCTACACGAACTGGGACCCCTCTGCCATGTGCCTTACCGACCCTTATGGTGCTACCCCCAATGGTGTTAAGATCTGGAGCCGGGTCACTTGCACCACAGCAGGGGCCATCACACATCTGTGAGTCCTGCAAGCAATCATGATGAGTATGCGAGTGTTGCAGACCGGGCCATCGTGGGGAAATCACACATTTGCGATTGAATCTGCGCTGCACTTCCTCCGTAGGCCCCTGTTGGGAAGTCCTAGCGCAGGAAAAAAGTACACACCACACTCTCTTGTATCAGCACCGTTCTAGAAGAACCACAATTGGTGTAACACTCACGCCCCGAGTCTCGAAGTATACTAGGGGCCCGTGGGTCGACGCACGCCTCTTCACATGTCATCTCATATTCATGGCTAGCAGTCATTCACTCGCCGCTCCCCATCTTCCATACCATCACACTCATGTGGGTGCCTGCAGGATCCTCAGTTCCGCGGTTCCAGCAGTCAAGGGGACCCTGCCTGCCGACATTTCCAAGCTCACGGCCATCAAACAACTGTCAGTCCCTCCCTCTTTCCTCTTCCTGCCCCTCCCCCGACTTCCTCCCGCCCTCTTTGCGCCTCAAGCCAGCCCACTTCGCCACCGCACTCCAATTCAGGCTAGGAATCCCATTCTGGCTAGGATTCCCATTCCGGCTAGGACTCCCATTCTGGCTAGGATTTCCATTCTGGCTAGGATTCCCATTCTGGCTAGGATTCCCATTCCGGCTAGGACTCCCATTCTGGCTAGGATTCCCATTCTGGCTAGGATTCCCATTCCGGCTAGGACTCCCATTCTGGCTAGGATTCCCATTCTGGCTAGGATTCCCATTCTGGCTATGATTCCCATTCTGGCTAGGATTCCCATTCTGGCTAGGATTCCCATTCTGGCTAGGATTCCCATTCTGGCTAGGATTCCCATTCTGACTAGGATTCCCATTCTGGCTAGGATTCCCATTCTGGCTAGGATTCCCATTCTGGCTAGGATTCCCATTCCGGCTTGGATTCCCATTCCGGCTAGGACTCCCATTTCCGGGCCTAACATGGAAATCCTCTGCTGCCATCTGTCGTCGCATGCCATGTTTTGGCATGCCCATGTCATGCCTTTCCTTGCCATGCCATTCCATGCCATTCCATGTACTGTCTGCACTGCCCTGTCTTCCCATGCGCCTGCCCTAAACCAGAGCTGGCGCATTTAACCTATTCACTGGGCGTCTGGATGCATTCGTTGCCAACCTCAAGAATGCTGCAAAAATGATGAGCTTGTGAGTAGCCAAGAGCCTGTGAGCAGTAAAGATCATGTGAGCAGTCAAGAGCATGTGAGTTGCACTGTAAACTGTCCAAAAGGGTGGGCTGCGAGCATGCGGGAAGGGAAGCCATGTTATTGGCTGGGTGCATTGGGAATAGGAACTGTTAACATTCTCCCAGTTCTCCCAGCCTTGGCAGATCACTTTTGTGCTGGCAAAGTACTCTTCTTGCAAGTTGTAACCTCGTCCAGTGCTCACAAGCACATGGGTAGAGGTGGTTAGGAAAAGAAGTGCTTCCTCTTTTAACGCATCCTGAATCAATTGCCTGGTCGAACTCCCCCGGCCTTGGCTTGGCAGGATATTGAATAACAACTATCTCTACGGCGAAATTCCTTCATTCCTTGTGAATCTCCCTGCACTTACAGAGCTGTAAGTACCAACAGCATGCAAGCCATTCCTTTTGTGTCTCTGTCCTTCCCTCGATTCCGCTTTTCTTTCCTCATACCCAACCCCCCATACAACTCACACCCGTTCTTGTCCCCTCCCCTCCCCCCCCTCCCCTCCATACCCTTCCCTTCCACTTGTCCTCCCCCAACGCTGTCCCCACTGCAGCTTTGTGCAATATAACTACCTCACTGGCACCATCCCACCCATAACTTCGCCGATGGGTAGGATGTACTTCAGAAACAACTTCATTTCGGGGATGCCCACCCACTCGCTCAACTATTGCCTTGGAATCAGTAACTGCCTCACCGACCCTTCCAAGTGCAGCGACGGAGGAACCTCCTAAAGAGATCCTGCTGAGTGCGCCATCTGTGGGACAGCCAATGCTGTCGCGCCCTTCTGCTGGGGCAACGGGGCATGCGTGCCCGTTGCTGCTCCAATGATTGATACCAGCTCATTGAATCAGAACTTTTCGCCCCTTCTATCGATGACATGCTCGGGTAACTATCCTCTCCTTAACCCATCCGCATACTGTTTTCTTAGGCGTGTGTGTGTGTGTGTGTGTGAGTGTGTGGTGTGTATGTGTGAGTGTGTGAGTGTGTGTGTGTGTGGGGTGTGTGTGTATGTGTGTATGTGTATGTGAGTGTGTGTGTGTGTGTGTGTGTGAGTGTATGTGTGTGTGTGTGAGAGAGAGTATGAGTGTGTGAGTGTGTGTGTGTGTGTGAGTGTGTGAGTGTATGAGTGTGTGTGTGAGTGTGTGATTGTATGTGTGTGTGTGTGTGTGTTTGTTTGACGACGATAATGATTTCACCTGGCCACCCTCTGCACTCCCCAACCCCCCTGTACTCTACTCTCCTCTGCAGGTGGTCCTCTGGCTGCCGTGTCATCCAGCACCGCCGCAGGTGTGTGGGGTGCCGCCACTTGCTCCCTTGAACTGGAGTTGTTGCTGTCAGTCGTACGAAGTCGTTGCTGTCTTTTGAATCCCTATTCCAAATGCGCTTCTTTCCGGATCTCGCTCCCCTCTCCCCTCTCCCCCTCTCTCTCCCCTCCCCCCTCTTAGCCTATCTCTCCCCTCTCCCTGTCTGCTTCTCTCTCCTCTCCCCTCTCCCCTCTCCCCCCAATTTCTCCCCTCGCCAGCAATGCTGGCCCTCAAGTCATCGCTGGGCGTGACTTTCACCTCGTGGGCAGCAACTGCGCCGTGCCAAGTGGTTGGGAAGGAGATTGCATCCGGCACGTGGTCCAACGTTCTTTGTGACGACACCGGGGCAATCGTCTACATGTGATCACCCATGCTTCAGCCAATCATGCATGCTGCACCCATGCTTCAGCCAATCATGCATGCTGCACCCATGCTACAGCCAATCATGCATGCTGCACCGGGGCAATCATCTACATGTGAGCACCCATGCATCAGCCTGGGAGAAGCAAGGGCATGTGGGAAGGAAGTACTGGCTGTGTGAGGGAAAAATATTGCGTTACACCCTTACCTTTGCTTCAAAGCAACTGACACAAGCTCGGTGACAATCTCAACCGACACTAAGTCAGTGACAATCTCGGCTGACATTAAATCAGTGGCAATGACAATCGTGACTTGCGTGGTCTCAACGACAAAGCTGAAACACACGATGTTTTAGCGTTCCAGCTTACTCTGACAATTCTGTTCTTAGAAGCCTCAATTCATCAGGAGGGATGGAGGGGGACAGGTGACTAGCCATCCAGCCCCTAACACCTACCTTGCACAACCATTTCTCCTCCTTTCCCTTCCCTCATTCCCTCCCAGCTCGTTGGCAAAGCAGGGTCTGACGGGGTCTATTCATTCGGACATATCCAAGCTCACCACACTCACTTACCTGTAAGGCTAAGGCCTGCATGGTGAATGCTCAAATTCCTGTATAGCACAGACAGGATATCTTCCCAGATACACTACTTCTGGGCAGTGCACACTATTATAATCTGGCACACCAGCATCCCGCTTGCCTACTCCTTCAAATCTCAACTCAACTCTACGCTTCCCCACCCCACCCACCCCAGTGATTTCGGCTACAACCTCTATCAGGAGTCTCTTGAGTCGTTCGCCGCGCCACTTCAGAACGTGCCCAGTCTTAAGGCGCTGTGAGTTCAACTTACAAGTCTCGCCGTTATAATAATTGCATGTGTCCCTTTATGTCTGCTGTTAAAAATATGGATAATGTAGTCTTGATAGGACCACATATGTTTATACAGATGAACAAGTACCATCCACGAGCTGGTTAAACTCGAACGTGTCGAACCCGTTTGCTAAACAAACCGAGCTGGTTTGGCTCGAGTTGAATCGAGTTCAGTGATTCACCTTGTAGTTTGACCTGGAAAGCCGAGCTTTAGAGAGTTCGACTCGAACCAAACCGGTTCTGTACCTCCTTTTGTTTTGAGGAGGTCGAATTTCGTTTTTTTTTGTTTTCTTGAAAAGCCTTCAAGCCTGTAGTAGGGAATGCTGTGTGAATAGAACAAACGATGATATTGAGATCGAGTTAAGCAAACACATGGTAGCTTCATAACGTAATGTAGAATTGAATACAGAAGATTGAGAGCAGGAACGTGTCGATCCGCTGTGGGGTTTCCACGTTGAACCCCCCACAGCTCAGGCATTACACTCGAACCAACCCAAAGAGTACGACTCGAACTGCAGTTGGTTCGAGTCGGACGTTTTTGGCAAAGGAAAATGGTATGGTTTAAATCAAATACAGGGTTTGAAGTAGTGCTGTCAAATTCATGCTTCTATCACACATCCTCATGTATATCTCATATATGTATGTATATACATGCAAACGTATGGCCCTCGGTTGGATGTTTTTTGCTGAGCTGACTCTAATCTAACTTCACACCTCCCTCGCACTTCCTCCCTCCTCCCACCCCCAGCTTCCTTCACTACAACTGGTTTGCGGGATCCATTCCCTCCTTCATCGCCTCCCTACCGAAGCTCACCACACTGTGAGTCAACCACGCATGCTGGAGTAACTTTTGAGTTTCAGAAGCCACGCGTGCACATGCAGCTTCATGCATGCATCCATGCATCCACGCATGCATCTACGCATGCATGCATCCATCCATCCATCCATCCATCCATCCATCCATCCATCCATCCATCCATCCATCCATCCATCCATCCATCCATCCATCCACCCATCCATCCACCCATCCATCCACGTCACTCATTTCACTCGCATGCATGCACATTTCAATCAATACCCTTCCACCCCAACCCTCTCCCACTTCTCCCAGGGGCCTCTTCTCCAACTACCTCACGGGCACCATGCCCATCCCCTCCACCTCCCTGGTCGCTCTGGACGTGGGCTTTAACTACCTCTCGGGATCCTTCCCCCAGCTCTCTCTTAAGAGTTGTTCCGCCGACCACAACTGCTTCCTCTCCTCGTCTTACTGCCGCTCCTCCGGTCTGCTGCAGCGCCCCGCCTCCGCCTGTGCCATCTGCGGGTCTGACGACGGCCAGGGGGAGCTCTGCTCTGGTGGGCTGTGCGGCCCTGACAGTGCTGATGCAGTCAGTGAGGGAACCGTGAACTCTCCCACTTTGCCGATTGTCCCCATGAAGTGTCTCGGTGAGTAGGGTGTGGTGTGGCATGCCCTGTCACAATGGTTCTGCTTTGTCCTGAACTCCCCTCGTCACACCAGCCCTTGTCTCCCAATAAAGTTCAAGATTGGTGCAAAGGGCCGTGCTGGTTGTACTGCAGTCCAAGCAGTAAGCTTGTAGAGAGGCTTGGGACATTCGGGTAGAGACATCTGGTTCTGGTTCTTTTGCTCGTTGCGGGTGGAGAGGCCTGAGTGAGGACCTTTTCTGGATGGGCAGATTTTCTCCCGTGCTGGTCTGATGGGATGCTCAGATTGGCACGTGCTTGCTGGCACTGAGGCAGGGGTGCTTGTGGCTTTGGCAATGTTGGTATGGTAGTAGTCGACCTGCTCTGCTCAGAGGCATGTCAAAGTTGCGTGGAGGCCAGGACCAGGCAAGTACCACGGAATGACCACTCCATGCCTTACTTGCTCTGATCTGCTCTGCCCTACTCTTGCCTGGAGTCCCTATTGGATGGTTGCGGTAGAAGGATGTTGCACTCAACACGCTGGATTCCTTCTGATTTCCGCACCTTTCTATCTCATCATGTGGTATTTGTACTTCTGGGCTGATTTATAACCTCAAATATTTCCTCAATTTCAGTCTTTGTACATCTATGCGTCTGTGGCTTTCCCCTGGCTCTGAACCTCTGTGTGGCTGTACAGATTCGCCTGTGGTCACAATGGATGCGGACTCAGGTGAGCATTCTCTTCAAAAAGCACACGTCCATGCCTCAGCTCTAAGACCCACATCTCCTCCCCCCCCTTCCACCCACCCCTTCCTATTCTTTATGCACACGGCACTTTATCAGCCTCTTATGCACCCTCTTCTTCTCCCTAACCCTTCCAATTCCTCTTCCTCTCCTCCTTTTCTCCCCCTTCTTCCCCCCTCCTCCTCCCCCTGCTCTTCCTCCTCCTCCTCCTCCTCCTCCTCCTCCTCCTCCTCCTCCTCACCCTCCTCCTCCTCCTCCTCCTCCTCCTCCTCCTCCTCCTCCTCCTCCTCCTCCTCCCCCTCCTCATCCCCACCTCCCCCCATCTTGCCCCATCCCAGCATCGGTTCTACTGAGCGTCAAGTCATCTCTGGGACTCACCGACACCACCTGGGTCACCGCCTCTTCCTGCACCATCGGCGGTGGCTCCATCAGCCCCCCAGACACCTGGAATGGCGTGCACTGCTCCGCTGCTGGCCTTGTCACGTTCGTGTGAGTGCCGTGTGCAACCGCAAGTGTGACTGATGCTGCTAACGGTGCTGCTCACTTGCAAAATGTATCACAAATAGATACAAGGGCAGGCTGGATACTGAGTTCCTGCAGCTTCTTTCTAGCTGGCAGAGTCCTGCACTTCCGTGCCCTGCTTGACCTTTGCTAGCACTTCCATGACATCAGCAGATATATATAATAGCACTTCATTATCTGCAAGCAAGCAAGTGCCCTGGAAGTTGGTTGAAATACACAAAGCCAAATAGCAGTCCCTCATTTTCGCTGTCCCCTCTTGTTTTCACATCTCATCCGCACCTTTCAAATAGGTCCCATCCATGCACCTAACTGCCCCTGCCTCCCAACCCCCTTCCAATTGGTTCTGTCCATGCATCTTGCCTGAATACAGGAACGTGTCTTCTATGGCCCTCAGTGGTACCATGCATGCTGACATCTCCAAGCTCACCACCCTCACATACCTGTCAGTTCTCCTTTCATCCTTTCTTCACTCTCTTATCTACCCTTCATTCCTCTCCTCCATCCTTTCTTCCTCCACTTGTTTCCCCCCGGTATGGGAAGGCCCATCCCTACCTCCCTCCCCTTCTCCCTCTCCCTCTCGCACTCGCTTCCTCTACTTGGTGTCCACACTTCTTCCTCCGCCTCCCAGTCTCCCTCTTCCGTTCCCTTGGGCAGATCTGAGAAATGCTGGAGTTTATGCTATGCCATGCCATGCCATGCCATGCCATGCATGTGACCACTTGGTGCGACTTGCGCAGTCCCTTCTTTGCTCCCGTTTCTCTTCTGCTGCTTCCACACTCCTCCCTGCCCATTGCAAGCCGCATCTCATCCCATTTCACTGCAAGAGCAACACGCCGTCCACTAGACCTGACTGCTCGTCATATAAGTTTATCCCCAATTACTCAGTAACGACCCATTCCATGCACCTGACCTGACCTGACCCAATGCCTCTGCCATCTCACCGGCCCTCTCGGCCTCAGGGACCTGTCGAGCAACCTCTTTACCCAGAACCTTGCGACCTTCACTTCTGGCTTCTCCAATCTCCAGGCCATCAAGCGCCTGTGAGTGACAACGCCCGTGCTGAGAAAGAGTGAAGTGCTGAGAGAGAGTGACAGTCATGCTGAGAGAGAGTGACAGCCATGCTGAGAGAGAGTGACAGCCATGCTGAGAGAGAGTGACAGCCATGCTGAGAGAGAGTGACAGCCATGCTGAGAGAGAGTGACAGCCATGCTGAGAGAGAGTGACAGCCATGCTGAGAGAGAGTGACAGCCATGCTGAGAGAGAGTGACAGCCATGCTGAGAGAGAGTGACAGCCATGCTGAGAGAGAGTGACAGCCATGCTGAGAGAGAGTGACAGCCATGCTGAGAGAAAGTGACAGCCATGCTGAGAGAGAGTGACAGCCATGCTGAGAGAGAGTGACAGCCATGCTGAGAGAGAGTGACAGCCATGCTGAGAGAGAGTGACAGCCATGCTGAGAGAGAGTGACACACCCCCTTGCTGCTGTTGCCTTGTTAGGCCCATGCCTTTCCCCTTGACATTATGATTATATGTCACAAATCACACCATGCATTCGTGAAGCCAAATATTTAAGACTTCACCTTTCCAGCGTGCCTGTCTCTGCGCCAGCCCATATATTCATACGTATTCAATTAGTTTCATTAGCCTTTCCTGGTTGGGATCACCCTTTCCCATCTTCCAGCCTCTCTCACAAGTACCCTTCCTTCTTCCTCTTCTTTACCTCCTTCCTCTCCCTTACGTCCTTTTTCTCCCGTAACTTCTTCCTCTTTCTTGGATGGTCCTTTGTATAAATGCATGGTCGAAACTTACAAGGTAAGGGCACTACACCAAGAAACCCAGTACCTACAGCTTATAGCCCCACAACCCTACTGTCTCCTTCCTCTCCCTTACCTCCTTCCCGTTCCTCAACTCCTTCCCCTCCATTTCCTCATTCCTCATCCCCATCATTGCAGCCGACTGAACAACAACTGGTTCGTGGGCTCCATTCCATCTGCCCTCGTCTCCCTGCCCACCCTCACCTACCTGTAAGCATGCTGCATACCCTCCCGTTCTACCCAACCAATGCTCTCGGCGCCGTGCAAAGGACTGAATGATGTGGCATTGTTTGAAAAACCCACCCACCCACCCACCCTGGACAGTGGGCATTCACCTGGGCATTGTTTTGGAACTAACCCTTGTGAGCGTTTTTTTAGAACTTTAGAAAATCCAGATCTTCACACCATGCCCGACCTGTATCTAAACGTCTCTGTCTGTATGCATGTTCGATCCCAGTGGGTATTCATACTTACCTGAACCACCTGAACCACCAACCTCCAGGGACCTGCATGCAAACGCACTGACCGGGACGGTGCCAGCCCTGCCCACCTCTCTCCTCTCCCTCGCCCTCCAAGACAACTTCCTCGCGGGAACCTTCCCCGCAGCCTCGCTGACAAACTGTGACGCGAGCAGCAACTGCATGGAGGATGCGGTGGAGTGCAGCGAGGAGAGTGCTGCAGCTCAGAGGGATGCCGAGGCGTGTGCGATCTGCGAGTCACAGGACGCGCAGGGCTTGCTGTGCTTCGGAGGGCTGTGCCTGCCAGATGTGGATGGGGTCACCGTGCATGCTGATGACATGGACGCTCCTGACATGTACTGCGCTGGTGAGTCACTTGACTCGGCATGTTCTGTGCTGGCAGCTGGTTAGTCATGGCACGTGGTGGTGGGTCATGACTTGTGCCGGTGGGTCATGCCTCGTTCTGGTGGGTCATCGCTTTTGCACTATTACATCATGTCTTGAAATTCCCAACCATCTCTACCTCCCTTCCCTCACCACCCTCATTCCTCTTATCTCTCTTGCCCTTCTCCCTGCCACTACCCACTGCAGAAGTGCCAGTGGTCACAATCGATGCTACCGATGGTAAGTGGGACAGAGAGACGCATGCGAGCTCAAATAGATGCATCAGATTTTTGCTGTGGCAAGTTAATTAGACATTGGCGAAAATTCTGTATGCCATTTATCAGAGTGTGATGTAGCTAACATACCCTCACTCCATTTCCACCACCCTCACTCCATCCGTCTGCCATTCTCACTCCATCCTGCCAACTATCATCCCTGCCCATCCTCTCTCCCAATATCTCTGTCACTCAACCTTCTTCCTCCCACCTCTGCCCCTCCCTTTCTCTCCCCTCACCCCTCGCCCCTCACACCCCTCTCCCCAACTCGCACAGCGCAAGCACTGCTGGCAGTGAAGGGCGCGCTGGGGGTGACCTTCACAACGTGGGGGCTTGACAAGCCGTGCACCACGGCTTCTGTCGGGCCGGCCATTGAAGGAACCCTCACCGCTGTCTCCTGTAACCCTTCCGGCAGAGTTCGCACCTTGTGAGTCCTCATTACTGCATGTGAGTCCATTTTTTTCACACTGCCTTTGCTGCCTAGCGTGATGCGTGTGCTGCTGCTTTTAGTTTTCCACGACATGTCAACCACCCGTAAACGGTTCAAAAGGCTCTGTCTCCTCCTACATGTGTGTGCTTTATTCCTTCCAGGAAACTAGGCCGTCTCAACCTAGCAGGCACTCTTCCTCGTGCAGTCTCCGATCTCACGGCTCTCACTTCCCTGTAAGCTTGCCTGCTCTCCCGAGCCATGCCGTCTCAGATTCTCACCTGCAATGAAATGCACCTTGCTAATTTCTGTATTCCACTCCAATCATGCCAGCAATACCTTCATCCCCATCCTGTCTTCTCCCACATGTCGCACCTCCTTCACCACACCCTCTCCCCCTCGCTGCCAGTGATCTGAGCGGCAATCTCTTTCAGGGTCGCCTGGACGAGGTCGCCACACACCTTCGCCTTCTCACTGCCCTCCAGTCCATGTGCGTTTCTCTCACCACCTGAGCTTTCGCCACCTGTGCTCTCACCACCTGTGCTCTCACGCTCACCACCTGTGCTCTCACCACCTGTGCTCTCACCACCTGTGCTCTCACCACCTGTGCTCTCTCCACCTATGCTCTCACCACCTGTGCTCTCACCACCTGTGCTACCGAAACCAGAACCATTTTTTCTCTTTAACTTGTGCCTGGGCATGCTGTCTTCTCCAGCTCTGTCGTCCTAATCCCCGTACTCATCCACCCAACCACCCTCCCTGACCTGCAGCAACTTCTCGTTCAACTGGTTCTCTCACACTGTCCCTCAATACCTGCTCGATCTTCCCAACCTCTCCAACCTGTGAGTTTCCATACCTGATGCGACGCTATGCACAATTGTCCGCACCCACTTCTCTTCGCCCTCCTTACCTCCTGTGCGGCCGTTGTGCCTTTCAAGAGCTGGCCCAAGTTTCGTGCCCTCCATTTTCTCCGTACCTTTAACCATTGACCAACTTTTTGTCCTTACAACACCTCTCACTCCCTCTCCAGCCAACCCATTTCCTATCACCACCCGCTCACTTCTACTCCTCTCAATCCCGTTCTGACCTCCGTGCTTTCACCCACCCACACCTTCCTGTTTTCACCACCCCCCACCAGCGCGCTGGGCTTCAACTACCTGACGGGCTCGCTGCCGACCAGCATATCGGCGCCTCTCAAGGCTCTGGACGTGCAGTTCAACTTCCTTGCCGGCTCCTTCCCCGCCCTCGGTCTCGCCTTCTGCTCCGCCCGCATCAACTGCTTTGCTTCCACCGCCAACTGCAAGCACCCCACAAGACCCACCGAGATCCTGCGAACTCCAGCCGCTTGCATCATCTGCAACACCCCGAACGCTCAGGGCAAGCTCTGCAGCAACATCATCGGTGGTGGGATCTGCAGCGCCTCTCCTCCTCCTTCCCTCCTGCTCCCACCAGCCACACCCAACAGTGCTTCATCGCCCGTGCTCCCTCTGGTCTGCACCGCTGCTACAAGTGTGCCCATGGATGCGGCTCAAGCCGCTGCGCTGATGAATGTGAAGGTGGCGCTGGGAGTGTCGTTTCCAGACTGGCGGGTCGATGCCCTCTGCACCCTCGTGGGGTCACCAGTTTTGGCCCCCAACTCATGGAATGGCGTGGCCTGTGATGAGTCCGGGAAAGTGCTCCGAGTGTGAGTGCCCTGCCTGCTTGGTTGCTGTGTGTGGTCGTGCCACTGAGGCAGGCAAGACAGTGCTGCATGTTAAGCATCAAGCCCTCTCCTGCTGCCTATCCTCCCTGCACCTATCCCTGTGTTAACCGTTTGACCATTGGTTAACTTGCAACTTCTGCATCTGGTATGTTACCCACTGTTACTGCTTCTATCACATGCGCTTCCTTCCCTACATCTGCTGCCCTCTCCATGTGTGCTGCCTTACCCATGTGAGCTCAATTCCCCCGTGTGTGCTGCCCTGCCTATGTGCACGGCAATGAATGTCCACACGCAGGTCGCTCAAGGGGCTGGGCCTCACAGGGAGCATCCACTCAGAGATCTCCAAGCTCACCACCCTCACCGTGCTGTGAGTACACATGCACATTCAACGAGCCTCCTCCCCACCGTGCAGCATATTCCTGTGCCTGGATTTCAAGCACAGCACCGCACAGCATAACATATCACCGCAAAGAACACCACAGCACAGCACAGAACCACACTTCACAGCACAGTACAGCCACCTACTATCCGCTCTCCAGGACCCACACACTTTACGCCCTTCATCCATTCTTCCTGTAATTTGCCAAGCAAAGTCTCTTGATGCCCACTGCGGAATTCTCACTCTTTCCTGCACCTCTGCCCCTTGCACCATTCCTCCTTGTACCTCTCCCCCCTGCTGGCACCACAGTGACCTGCAGTCCAACCTGCTGGAAGGCAAGATGGACGCCTTCACTGCCAACATCAAGGCGCCTCTTGTGCTCAAGGAGCTGTCAGTCCCCGCCTCCCCCCACCCACCCATGCTTCCGTCCTCCCGTCAACCATCCACCCATCTTCCCACCCTTCCATCCACCCATCTACTCATCTTCCCACCCACCAATCCACCCATCCTACCACCCACCTACTCATCCAACCTTCCCCCCATTTAACCAGTCGGCAGTTGGTTTGGTAGTAGTATGTGGTGTGATTTTGTGTGTTCATGCAGCAAAGGATCAATACCCAAGTCCGTGAATGGGGGTGCCTCATTCATACACCCTCCCAACCCGATTGCTTCCTCTCTTGCCTCCCCACCCATCCACCTTCATGCTCCACGCACGTGACCGCACAAGCAAGCAACTGCAACAAAGCACTCTTCTTGGCAGAACTAGACAGGAATTTATGCGTTCACCCTCCGTCCTCCCTCACCCCTTGCCCTTATCCCCTGTGTGCACCGATGCCCCCATCCCTGTGCTGTGCACCCATGCAGCTACCTGCAGTACAACTACCTCTATGGCGTCTTCCCCTCGGCCCTCCTCGCCCTCAAAACCCTCTCAACACTGTGAGTCATCATACCATGATCACCACGTGATGATGCTGAATTGCTGAAGCAGGGCATTTAATTCACCTGGAGTTTATCAGAAACAAGTAGACGAAGTGGGAAAAGTTGAACTTCTACACACCGCAAAGACCTGAACTCTGTTACAGCTAAACTCTGGCATCTAAACCCACCCCCATAGCCTTCTTCTGCCGCATCTTCACCCGCATAGTCCTCTTCTGCCGCATCTTCGCTCTGCCTGCATAGCATCACCACCCACCCACCACTCATGCCCACATATGCTACCTGCCTCCTTCTCTGTCCCATATCCTCTTCCACCACCCCATCAGCTCCGTGGCCTTCAACCACCTCACCTCAGCATCTGCCATTTATCAATGATTCTCATGTAACACCCTTCTCTTTTCCTCTCTTCTCTTCTCCTCTCTTGTCTTCCCCCACCCTCCACCACCACGCCATCAGCTCCGTGGCCTTCAACTACCTCACCGGCTCACTCCCCACCGCACTCCCCACCACGCTCCCCTCTCTGGACGTGCAAAGCAACTTCCTGGCGGGTTCCGTGCCGGCCAACAGCATCCCTTACTGCGCCAGCACGGGCAACTGCCTGGTGGACGCGTCCAAGTGTGCATCACTGGGACTGCCACAGCGCAGCGCCGCTAAATGTGCCGTCTGTGGCTCCACCAACGGCCAGGGCGCTCTGTGTGCTGCTGCCACCACCTGCCGGGTTGTTGCTGCTGGGGCTGGGGTGACGACTCCCCCCACTGCGCTTTCTGCTAGTCTCCTTCTCTTCTGCGAGGCTATTCCCATGGACTTGATAACAAGTGAGTGCGCTGCTCTTCTGCTCCTGTTCACTCTCAAAGAAACCTGACTGAGACTAACCTCCTGTTCACCCATCCTCCCTTCATCCGCCACAACCACCTTCAATTCATCCCTTTGTTCCACCTTCTCCCTCTCCCATCCTCTCTCCCTTTTCCCCACCTCCCATGTGCCCCCTTTCCAGCCCAAACGATGCTAGCCATCAAAGCCGCGCTGGGGGTAACGCTCACAGACTGGATTGCCACCCTGCCCATGCCACTCAAGCCCTCCAGTCCCGTCTCATCCAAGTCACTTCCAGGCAAAAGCAGTGTGCCGCTGGCAGCGTCTCTTGGCACGTGCACGTTGGAGGACCAGACTCCTGGGCTAGGCGTATGGACCGGCGTCTTTTGCAGCGCCAAGGGCGTTGTTGTGGGCATGTGAGTGCTGCCATGCTGCTGTGTCTTCCCGTGCTGCTGTGCAGTGTTGATTGTTGCCACGGGAGCCTTGTTAATGGTGCCTCGTTGATTTGATGTGGCGTGGATTGAGTTGAAACCCACTTATTGTCACTATTTCTCTCGTTTCTTTCCCCCCTCCCCCCCCCCCCCCCCCCCCCCCCCCCCCCCCCCCCCCCCCCCCCCCCCCGCTCTTCTGCTTCATTCTGCAGTGTTCTACCAAATCAGAAGTTGCGGGGAGTTCTCTCAACGGAAGTCACCAACCTCACAACCCTCACCATGCTGTACGCCCCTCCCAATTCTTTATTGTTGTAATCTCTGCCATAGAATCTGCTTTTCTATTGTGAGCCAGACCCATCTCACAACCCTCACCATGCTGTACGCCCTTCCACTCCTTTTCTGTTGTGAGCCCTGCCATAGTATCTGCTCCTTGCGACCCAACTTACTGGTGTTTTTGCTCTCTCTTCTGCTTCGGTCTTGCCCCTCTAATTACCTCTGCCCGTGTGTGTATGTGCATGCATTTGTGCAGCAACCTGAGCTCCAATCTCTTCCAGCGTCGAATGGATGTCTTTCTCTCACTCGTCTCGACCCTCAAGGCTCTCGAGAACCTGTACGTTTTACCATGGTTCACTGGCCGAATAAATATCCCACTCGCACCGTGTGCTGTGCATTGCACACTGATACTGTACGCTGTAGCATCAATCCTCCAATCACAAATCCTCCTTACTCCAACCAACCCTCCTCACTCCAGTCCCTTTTACTCATTCCAATCCTTCTCACACCCCTCGACTATGCCCCTCACATCACATCACTCCCCACCCCACCCACAGGCACCTGCAGTACAACTGGTTTTCCAGCTCCATCCCCACCACTCTCGTCGCCCTGCCTGCTCTTTCCGTCCTGTGAGTGATCCCCTCCCCACCCTCATGCGTGTTAAATAGAACATCAAACGTTATTTTCTGCCACTATCTTGTGCCCTCCGACCCAACGCCCTTAAAAATAGACTCCCTCTCGCACGCTTTCTCGCATTCGAAACTAACTCTTAATCCTCGTTCGGGCCTGTTTGTTTTATCCCCGCTGAACCCTCTTTCCTCCTCCACCCTCCACACTACATCCCTGCCGGACCACCACCTGATGTTGCGACAAGGCAAACAACAACTACCTGCTGCATGCCCCACTCACAGTACCTCAACCACCACTCTTTCCTCCATTTCCTCATGCTCCTCCCCCTCACCTTCCCCTTTCCTTCCCCCTTGTCTACCCTGCCTCCCTCCAATGGCACAACAGCAAGCTGAACTGCAACTATCTGACGGGCACAGTGCCGGCGTTCAAGGCGTCACTCAAGGCCCTCAACGTGGCCAGCAACCTGCTCTCGGGCTCCTTCCCCATCGCCACCCTCACCGCCTGCGATGCCCGCTCCAACTGCCTCTCCACCACCAGCAAATGCGCCAACGCTGCTGGCACGGCGCAACGGTTATCCTCAGAGTGCAGCGTGTGTGGGTCCACCGATGCTTCTGGCGTTCTGTGTGGGGGAGGGCTGTGCGCCCCTGATGCCTCCGCCCCTGCTGCCTCCTCCACCCCTAACATGGACGGCCAGCCGCTGCTGCCACTGAGCTGCCTGGGAGTGCCCATGGATGCGGCCATGGGGTTGGCGCTGCTGACTACAAAAACGACGCTGGGTGTGACGTTCACGGATTGGAATGTGGATGCACCGTGTGCACTGGCAGGGCAGGCTGTGGTGTCTGGCTCGTGGTCGAGCGTTGTGTGTGACGCCACCGGCAAGGTTCTCAGCCTGTGAGCGCAGGGCGGCTGCTTGGGGTCTCCTGTTTGTCGTTGTGTGATGTGTGTGCCTGTGATGGGCACGGGCTGTGGTGCTCAGTAAGGTTCGTGTCTATGTTCTGCCATGATGAGGCCTCAATTCATGTCTTTGCTAATCTGATTTGATGGATGGGTGAATTAGGCCACGTTCATCGTATGCTTATACTGATGTGATGATGGCATGGCATGGCATGGTGTGGCACCTCCTTACATGCTCACCATATAATCACCGACATTGTACATCCTTGTTAATTCCTCTGCAATGCACCACCTTGTGCCACACACAAACGCAGCAAGCTGGGCGATCTGCTGCTGCCAGGGTCCGTCAACGCCTCGGTCTCAGCCCTCACATCTCTCACCAGACTGTAAGCTTCAGCTTTAAGCCCCCTAAGCTTCAACCTGTATTGTTAGCTCACCATCCTTTGTGACTATTCACTGCATGCGCTTAAGCTCTCGCTCTACATTCTCTACTCATGATCACCTTCTCATTAGCCCTCATCAACTCATGGTCACATGATCACATCGTCACATGCTCACACAATTACATGCTCACACAATCACATGCTGACACAATCACATGCTCACACAATCACATGCTCACACAATCATATGCTCACACAATCACATGCTCACACAATCACATGCTCACACAATCACATACTCACACAATCATATGCTCACACAATCACATGCTCACACAATCATACGCTCACATCGTCACATGCTCACATCATCACATGCTCACTTGCTCCGAGGTGCACTTGTGTGGGCTGTGCCATGCTGCAGCGAGCTGAACAACAACCTCTTCTCAGGCCGCCTGGATTCCTTCCTCACCCCTCTTCTTCCCGTCAAGACTCTCAAAGTCCTGTGAGTTGCACTCGCTGCACTGCACTGCATCCCCAACTATTATTATTCAGCAGTGCCATCTCTTCTGGCTGGTTAGTCTTGCTTGTATTACTCTTGCCTGCCTTGCCTGCATTGCTGCATAATGGCACGTATTGTATCTCTGCATTACTGCATTCCGTGTGATTCAGCACCTTCTCTCCCTAATGCTGCCCTCACCCCCCACCCCCCTACCAGCCACGTCCACAACAACTACCTGTCGGGCGCCGTGCCACCATCACTCACTGCTTTCTCCACCCTCTCTGAACTGTGAGCTCTCTCCCCTCGCCTTTTGCCACGAACTCCTATTCATAAAGCTCGGTTTCTTCCTGTCTCTTTCATTTCAGCATTTCCTGTTCCGGCTTTTCACCACTCCGTTTCTTCTCCACGCATCCTCAATTTCCACCCCCATTCCGTGTGCTATTTCTTCCCCCGTTACCATGCCCAAAACAGCAAGATCCAGGGCAACTACCTGACGGGCAGCATGCCGGCAGCGCTGCCGGCGTCCCTCAAGTACCTGGACGCATCAGGGAACTACCTGGTAGGAACGTTCCCCACCACCACCACCACCTACTGCAGCTGCGCCAGCAACTGCTTCAAGGACAGCACCAAGTGCACCAGCGGCAGCACGCAGCGAGCAGCAGCAGCATGTGCCATCTGCGGCAGCACCAACGGCACCGGGGTGCTCTGTGATGGCGGCACGTGTGCTCCCAGTTCGACGGCTCTGATCGCAGCAAAGACTGTGAATACGGGGACGGCTGAGATGTACTGCGCGGGTGCCCCCATGGATGTTGCCATGAGTGAGTGCAACGAGCAGTGAGGCATGCGTGACGGGTGTCTGGAGGGTGGATGTGTGGGGTATGTAAGGCGTGTGTGTCTGGGTTATGTGTGGGGTATGTATGGGGTGTATGTGTGGGGAATGTGTGGGGTGTGTGTGTGGTGTGTGTGTGGGGTATGTGTGGGGTATGTGTAGGGTATGTGTGTGTGTGTGTGTGTGTATGTGTGTGTGTGTGGTATGTATGTAAAGTACCGTGTATCCTCGCACATCAAATCTTATCCCATCAGATCAGACCACGGTTCACCTTGTTCCAAGAATCTTCCGCATTGCCCAAACCAATAAGATACGACTCAACCAACCTGTCCCGCACTCTGCCTTCCCATCTACCCCCGTTAGGTGCTGCCCTGCTGAATGTGAAGGCGTTGCTGGGGGTTTCCTTCACGGACTGGGTGGTGAGCTCGCCGTGTGCCGTGGAGGGAGTGCCGGCACCGCCAGGCGCGTGGTCCAACGTCCTCTGCAACTCTGCCTTCAAACCCGTCTCCCTGTGAGTCTTTTCACTTGCCACGCCTGACTTGCGCAAGCTGCTGCCACTAGCTAAGGCTGAGCCTGAGTGTTCCAAGGACAGTGTTTTTGGGTTCAGCGCCACGCCGATTCGAACCGCTTTCCTCAAACTAGGAGTTTTTGGCTGTGTTTGGCATTTGGCCGTTTTCTGCTGTGTTTGACATCGTTTGGCTGTTTTCTGGCGTGTTTGGCGGCTTTTGAATGAGCAGCAAGTTGTCGGGGCAGAAGCTGGCAGGGAAGATGCACTCTGACATCTCCAAGCTCACCACCCTCACCTCCGTGTAAGTCTATTCTCCATGTATACTATTCTGCACGGCAGCATTTGACTTATGCACTCACCGCCGTTCCTAGCTTACCCAATTGTTTCAACTCCACCCGTATTGCTGATTCTCCTCGTTCTCTCTCCTCAGCTTATCCCTCCAGCATGGTGCCTTAATGCCCATCCTGTTCCAGTCCAGTTTCATTTCTGACTCATGTGTGTATTGAGTCAACTTAAAACACACTCTGTGTCGTCGGAATAAACCCCAAGCCCCATTGACCCCCTCCCTGTCTCCCCATGTACCCCTTACAGTGATTTCAGCAGCAACCTATTGCAGGGGCGTCTGGATGCATTCATAACCAACTTCAAGCCGCTTTCCTCGCTCAAGCAAGCGTGAGTGGCGTAGCTGTGGCCATGGTGTCTCTCTGCAGCAGATAAGATCAGAACAAATCACAAGCTGTGAGAACTGCAGAGCAGATCACACACGCGGGGTTGGAATCGAAGCTGTAGCTTCAGAAGAGGCAGGCTGCTGAAGTAGTTCCCGCATGGGGTTGCCTCCCGCAACTGTCTCTGCCTACCACGGCATGCATGAACATGTCATTCCACTTTAAGAAACCTCCCGAGATCCCCTTCTATCACTCCCATCTCAACTCCTCTCTGCTCCCCCCCATACCCCCTCCTCTTCCCTCCTGTCCCCGCCTGTCCCCTCCTCTCCCCTCCTCCCTTGTCCTCTCCCCTCCTCTCCTCCCACGATGTAACTCCTCCTCACATTGACTTGCCTTTTCACTTCCACTTCCGCCCACACATCTCGCCCATGGCAGCTACTTCAACTTCAACTGGTTCTCCGGGCCCATCCCCTCTGCCCTTGTGGGCATCGCCTCCCTCACATCATTGTGAGACCTCCTTGCCTTCTTCTGCGCAGCCACTCGCTGCTGCGCAGCCACTCGCTGCTGCGCAGCCACTCGCTGCTGCGCAGCCACTTGCCTTATTGCCTCATTGCCTTTGCTGCCGCTGACTCATTGCCTTTGCTCCTGCTGCCTCATTCCCTTTGCTTTTTCTGCCTCATTCCTTTTGCTCCTGCTGAATCACTGCCTCACCGTTACACTCACTCTCCTCCACTCTCAGACAGTCTCACACCTCACTATGTCACCCTTTCCCTCCCATCCTCACCCCTCTCGCCCCACTTCTTCAGCGGCGCGAGTTACAACTACCTGTACGGCCCCATGCCCAAGTTTGGCGCTGCTCTCAAGACCCTTGACCTGCAGAAAAACTGGCTCTCCGGCACATTCCCAGGGACTGGCTTCCTCTCCTGCTCTGCCTCCTCCAACTGCCTCGCCAGCACAGGCGCATGCAACACCACAGGCACCACGCAGCGCCCATTGGCTTCTTGCGCCGTCTGTGACTCTCCCACTGGGGCTGATCCCATCTGTGCCGGCGGCACCTGTGCTCCCAACACTGCAGGGCCTCTTGCCTCCTCCACCACCCCCACCGCTGCTTCTGCCGTTCTGCCGCGCTTCTGTGTGGGTGTGCCTTTGAATTCAGTGCAAGCCGCTTTTCTCCTCAATGTTAAGACCGCTCTCGGGGTCACCTTCGCCGAGTGGTCTCCCAGTACACTTATCGTATCCCCCAAGGCCAAGACTCTTGGCAGCAAGACTGGGAATGGTCTGAAGGCAATGGGGCGGAGGCGCTTGGCAGAGAGTGAACCAGGCAGGGAGGAGAGGCTGCTGAAGGTGACTCCTAAGCCGCCTTCGGGGCAGGCGGGTCTGTGCACGATTCAAGGCCAGACACCCGTTGCTGGCTCCTGGCCGGGCGTGTTCTGCAATGCTGCCGGCATGGTCGTGGGCCTGTGAGTGCTGCTGCCACTCCACCCTCCAGAAGTACCCCTGCTGATGTGCTGCTGCTTGCTTTCTTCCATGGTTGTTGGCTTGTGAGTGCTGATGCTGCTCCTCTCCTCACTGCTACCCTCTCCACAAACCAGACCCCCAGAATAATATGCTGTGATGATTCCTACTGCCTTGTGCGTGTGAGCCCAACACGCGTTGTGTTGCCAACCCCTGTTCTCATGCCGGACTCGGAACCGCCACTCTTCCTGTCTTCCGCTGCTGCTCCCTTTGCCTCTGCCTCCCTCTGCCCTGTTGCCCTCTCTACCTCTGCTGCTCTCTCTGCCTCGCTGCTCTCTCTGCTTCTGCTGCTCCCTCTGCCCCTGCTGTCCTTGTGGCTTCTCTGCCGGGTGGGCAGGGACCTTCGGAATAACCTGCTGCAAGGCACCGTGCACGCCGACATCTCCAAGCTCACCACACTGACTGCGCTGTAAGGCATTGGGGCTTGGGGTCTCAGTGAAGATTTCAGGGCTAGTTTTTCAGGTAGGCTCGGTGGGGTGGGGTGTGATATATGTGCCAGGACAGGAGTGCAGCATGGTTGCTGGTGGTTAGGTAGGACAGGATAGGCCAGGACAATTCTGTGTGGGCACTTGTTTCTGTGTGGCCAGGACAACGTGTTTCGAATCAGAGCCCCAACCCAGCTGTCTCACTGCACACAAAGCATGCACACTCTTGCATTCACCACCCGTCCCCAAATTCCTCCCCCCCCCGCTCCCCCATTCTTCCCCCGTGGATTCGTTTTCCCCATCAAATACCCCCAATGTGTTCCCCATGCGCAGCTCCCTGTCATCCAACCTCTTTTACCAGCGTCTCGACTCTTTTGTGGTTCCTATCCTGCCCACGGCCTCCCTCAAGGAGTTGTAAGTGCCTCTCACGCCCACGGCTTCTCTTATGTACCTGTCAGGGCTGTCACTCACGCACCCAACCTTATCGGGTCCGGTACTAATTGCTGTTGACGCAACCCCGGCAGACCTGTTTGAGAACATGCAGGGTCAAAGCGTTCAGCACAGACAGGTTGATACAGTTCATCCATCCCCCACCCGTTCTGTATCATCTGTATCGATCGCCGCACCTGTCAATGGACCTAGCTCCTCCTCAGCACCTTCTGAGAAACGTCTCTGCATCGTCCCTCCTGCCGCTGTTTTGCAGCGCTTTGCCATGCTCAGTTGCTCGTCTCGGGTCTTTCTCACTGTCTCGTGTGTTGCACTTCCTATGCCCTCGGCCATCCTCATAACTCCAGTCCCTTCAACTCATGTGTGTCGTTGTGTTCTTGTGTGTATGTGTGCATGTGCACATCGGTTTGTGCGTGTGTGCGTGAATGCATGAATGCTGCATGTGTGTGCGCCTCTATGTGTCCCACCCACCACCAGATCTGTGAGCTTCAACTGGTTCTACGGCTCTGTGCCAACCAAGCTCGTGGCCATGGCCGGCCTATCCAACCTGTAACAACTCCCCCCCCCCCCTTCTTTGCTCCCTCTTTGCAAGAGACATCTGAGAACTCTCGAAATATCTCTTGGCCTCTGACACACCCCTTGAAACATCCCTCACCTGGTCCCATTATCATCGCCTCCCCTCCCCCTCCCCTATCCCACAATTCCTTCCATCCCGTCTAGTCCCTCTGTGTCGTATTCCCCAATTTGTTCCAACTCATTTCTCATACCCTCTCCCTTCTATTCGCCCATCTCTCTTCCCCCTCTTCCCCGCGCCATCCCAACCACCGGTCGCTTCAGCTACAACTACCTCACAGGCTTGATGCCCAAGCCCGGTGCCGCCCTCAAGGTTCTCGACACGCAGGTCAACTTCCTCTCGGGCACTTTCCCCGCAGCAACAATCTCTGCCTGCAACGCTCGCCTCAACTGCTTCACTGATGCTGCAGCCTGCCCCAATCTGGACGGAACAGGGCAGAGGCCACTGACAGGGTGCAACATGTGTGGGTCACCAACGAAGAAGCAGCAGACGCTGTGTGCCCATCGTCTCTCCTCTCGCCAAGCTTTCCAACACTGCTGCTGCTCCCACGCTCCCCATGACATGCACTGCAGTGCCCCTTGATGCCACTATTGGTGGGTGCCTTTTCCCTCTCCCCTCACCACTGCCACGCGTGAGTTCATGGGACTGTCGGTCCGTATGATCCTGTAGTTTCAAAGCTCCCTAGCTCACCTCACCTTGACTATTGCCCTGCTCTGAGCCTTATTTTTACCTCTCGCAAGTCCCTTCCCTGACTGGCGCTCTACCTGATTCCCTTCGTGTCACCAAGCATGATTCCTTTTCTTTCAATATGCCACCGTCCATGCCATACCCTCGTCGCACCACCACCAAGCAACCGCCCTTCCGTGCTGCAAGCGCATTCCATACAAGCATGTGCCTCTGGATCCCCCTTCACCACTCTGCAAGCATGTGTCTCTAGCCTGCCTGCATCCACTCAGCTTCCTCTCTCCCTCGCCCTTCCACACCCACCCGCCCACCCACTGGCAGTGGCTGCACTGTTGAAGGTAGGCCCGGCACTTGGGGTCAGAGACATCGACTGGCGCAACGGCAGCAAGTGCAACATTGAGGGGCAGACTGCCAACCCCAAGTCGTTTCCGGGCGTATGGTGCAACACCAACAGCACCCTCCTCTCCATGTGAGGCTCCCCTGCCCTCCTGTTACCCTTGCAATCACTCCCTCTAAAGGTCCCTCACTGAATACGCGTGTAGCCCTGCTATCCATATGCCTCTTGTTAACACCATGCCGTCTTCTATCCACATGCCTCTTGTTAAGCCCACGCCGCATGCTCCTTCTCTTGCTAACATCATGGCAGCACGTTGCCCAACAAGGCACTGAGGGGCATCATCCATCCCGACATCTCCAAGCTCACCGCCCTCACCTACCTGTACGTCCCAACCCTCAACCCCAACCACATTACACCCCACGCAACCTGGGGCGTTCTCTACAAGCATGTGATCACTTTCACACGCATGCTTGGGTAAATTTGTAGTCTGCACTGTTGGAGTTAGCCCTCAGTCTCAACTTCTGCACTTGTACTGTTGGTAGTGACCATCACATCCTGGAGGGCAGTGGTACTCACCAAGTTCGTAGAGAATGAGGGGAGGTGAAGACCTGACAGTGAGCCAGACGGTGGAACGTGGTGGAAAAAAGTGGTGGAACGTGCAAGAACTGGGCCCCCGGAGGGGTCAGCCAGAGAGACTGTAACAGGTGCAGGGAGTGGTGTGACTGTGGTACTGTCGCGAAAGAAACAGCGGGAAGCACCTGAGTCAAGCGTGAAGGTGTGCAAGGCCTCAGCAGGCGCAGTACTAGAGAGAGCAGACTCACTAGCACCTAGAGGGGCAGCCCCTATACCTGGGTCGGGTGGCAGACACAAGTAACAGTCACCCTCAGTACTAACAGTCAAAGCATACATGCCAGCAAGGATAGCATCAAAGTCAAGAGCAAAGATATCCACATCGTTCCTAAGCAGGTCTCACCAGCGGGGGAGCTCAGCCTCGTCGTTTAACTCTTCGCGCGAGGTGTCGTCAAGGCGGGAGAAGCAGCGGTACTGTAAGTGACCAACCTTCCTGCATGTCTGACCAGCCCGATCACCTGAGCGAATGACGTACGGGCAGCGAACAGTACCCCCTGACGCCCCACGCTGAGCAAACCACTCACGAAGCTGCTGGGGCATAAGGGTCTCGTGCGGACGCTGCTGCTGCTGCCTCTGGCCACTGCCAGAACCTCCCCTCTGAACGGCCCCACCCCGACCACCACCACTGCCGCCGCTACCACGCCCACTACTGCCACCGCCGCCGCCACCATTCCCACCGCTGCCACCACCGCCTCCACCGAAGCCTCCACTCCCACCACCACCCCCACCGCCACCACTGCCACCTCCACTGCCTCTACCGCCTCCACCACCGCCTCCACCGCCGCCACCCCCACCACTCTTTCCTCCCTTGCCCTTGCCGCCGCGGCGCCTCCCACTAGGAGCAGACGTAGCCTCGACCTCCTCAGCACCAAGGAAGTGAACAGCAGCAGCAGAAGCGACAGTGAGAGGGCAAGGGGGGAGGGGGGACGAGAAGCACCTGCAAGGAGGTGTTTCTTGAGCAGGTCGACAGTGAGGTCTGTGGGGTCAAGGGCGAGAAAGTGGTCCCTGACTGCGCGAAGAGAGTCAGGGAGGCGTGTGTCTATGAATTAGAGAGTGATATACATCGGGGGCGGGTTCTTGACCAGGAAATTGGCTTTAAGCGCGGCACGGTAGCGAGTGTCGCTAGTGCGAAGGTGGGTGATGAGGTCGGCGACTGTGGCAAAGGTGGACAGCTCGGGGAAAAGGTAGGGAAGTATAAGGCGGTGGCCAAAGTGAACGCGTCTTGTGCTGGCCAAAGTGAGCGCGTTCGGCTAACGGCAGGTGGTTGTGAACGGCTAGGTGAGAAGCAGCGTCACGGGTAAGCCACTGTGAGCGAGTCGCAATGGCAGCTGTGTCGGGAGGGGCGAGAGAGGCTCCAGACGTGTGGTCAAACAGCGAGACGCCGTCTTTAGAATCGCTCAGTAGGTACAGCCGTAAGTTGTGGAGCCACGAGCCATGTATCAAACTGGATCGGACGTTCCTCAGGATCGAAGGTCAGAACGCTGAGGGTAGCCATAGCTAGCAGAGCAGGGTGGCGCATGACGAGCAGGGTAGGGCAGGGCAGGGCGTGCACGAGCTTCGCGACGCAGGGCAGGGGGTGCGCGGGGCGGCGCGACGCGGGGCAGGGCCAGGCGCGCGCGGGCAGCACGACGCAGGGCAGGGCGTGCGTGGGGCGGCGCGACGCGGGGCAGGGCCAAGCACGCGTGGGCAGTTGACGCAGGGCAGGGCGTGCGCAGGGCGGCGCGACGCAGGGCAGGGCCAGGCGCGCACGGGCGGTGTGACGCAGGGCAGGGCGTGCGCGGGCGGTGCGATGCGGGGCAGGGCCAGGCGCTCGTAGGTTGCGCGACGCAGGGCAGGGCGTGCGTAGGCGGCGCGACGCAGGGCAGCGGGGCGACGCAACGCAGGGCCGGGCATGCGCAGGGCGGCGCAACGCAGGGCAGGGTAGGGCGCGTGCTGGCGGCGCGACGCAGGGCAGGGCACGTGCGGGGTGGCGCAACGCAGGGCAGGGCAAGGCAGCGCGGCAGCCAGCAGGGCGGCGCGCGTGCAGGGGAGCGCGAATGGTAGGGCAGCGCGATACGGGCTTGTACGGTGGGCCCTAAAAGGAACTGTCCTGGACAACGTACGGAAGAAGGCCACGCCGCTGCTGAGACGATTTTTCAAGAAGGAAAACACCTTCCAGCGTGGTATGCAAGAGGGACAGTCAAGAAGGGGATGGGGTTCTCAGCTGGCAGCGTCGTGCCTTTGGGCTCTCCCTTCGCTGCCCCCATTGACGATTCTCCGTCACCTCCCACCCACGATGCCATGCTACTAGCTTCGCGAGCCATTGATGGCTCCTCTTTCTATTATTACACTAACAATTCATTCGCATTGAAAAAGGACCAAGCTTTTTGCTTGCCATAACTTTGAGGCGTTGGAGGTCATAGCATAAAACACAATTTCAGCTTTGAGTTTCAACTTAAGTTCTGCATTGCTATGTAATTGCCCCATCTATGGTCTGAACGTGCGTGGATACAATCCGAGTGACGCTATGGGATGGTAAGCCAAAGGCTGGAATAACTCCTTCTATCAGCTCCTGAACATGACGGGCACATAGGTTGCGGATGTTGATTACAGAAATCATTTTCTGTAATTCAGTCAGCCGGTTTCACTTTATATGGGGTGCGCAAGAATATTTAGCTTGGGGCTGAAGCGGAAACGGGTTTCCTACTTTCGAGACGAAGTCAACTGAGGTCTCGACCAAAGAGAGCGAGCCATGGGGGAAATGGTGGTGTTCTGAGTGGGAGGGGCGAAATCAGTTCAGCCCCTTCATTTCGACCAATGGGAGCAAGGCAGGGATGAAAACGTGGTGTTCAGAGTGGGAGGGGCGAACGCACCAGGTGGCGAGCACCAGTTGGGTGCTGATTGAGTTGCTGATCGAGTCGAAGCTGATCGCCACCGACATATTGACTCTTGCAGAATTCGAACGGGCTTCATCGTAACCGTTCGTAAATGGCGCGAAGTGAAATGTTCGAATCGCCGCCGTCGGAACTCAGCGCGCGCGATTTTTGAATTATTTTGCCACCGCTTCGAGAGCATTCCAGGTTAAGAAATAATATGGAGGGAAAGCTCAATGTGTGTTCGCGCTACGAGTATGGAAACAAAGAAACGTAAAACAGGGTAGGAAACTAGAATTATCAAGCCCTAAAATAAAGTTGTTTGTCCTTGCTTGTTTTAGCAATAACTTGGGGTGGATTTCTTTCTCTCGTACTTGCTGCAATAACGCCTTCAGTGTTCAAAGTTTTGACAACGCCTAGAAAGGAACGCCTGCTGCGACAACCAAGCTACCACTGCAAGCTTCTCTCTCTACACACTCGGACCCTTGGATAGGGGCTGACGTTAAGTCAGGCACCCAGGGACCCTTGGAGGTGACCCCGAGGAGAGTGCTGGCAGTGTTAGAAAGGCGATTAGAGAGTAGGCTAGTACGTTTTAAGACTAACAGCGGAACCCGCAGGCAAAAAAGTGACAAAATTCCCTCACTCCCATGGTTGTGTCGTGGGTTATGCACGAGAAGAGTTTGGAGGGGAGCTGAACCATGCTGTTTGACGTACAAGTATTGACAAAAATGGGAAATATTTATCTTGGGGCCGAAGACTTGCAGAGGGATGCAAAAACTGGGGCCGGAGTTATCTCGACCGTAGGATTCATCCACGGAGCTGGCCAAGCGGCTAGGCCAGCAAACCAAGCCATGAGTGAAAGATATTTTTTACAATTTCTGATTCGTCTAGTTGAACAATTTCTACCTGAGGTTATGACTACTGTCTACTACAACGCGCGTGTCGTATTTTTCCGGAAATTTATTTCGTCATTAATAAAGGTTGAGTATTTCGTCATGAACAAAGGTTGAGTATTTCGTCATAAAAAAAGGTTGAGTCCTAAACAACATATTATTATATTCATGTAAATCACCCTATTT